TTCATCAATCAATTTTTCTCAGTATAATTGAGTTAACTTGATTGTTGTTACGAATTTTTCTATTTATTTCATAATTAAACAATTTCTGAATTTTAATAATAAAAAATAACTTCTTAGTTTTTCAAAACTTCATTTTTTAAGCAAGAAGTTTAAAATTAATTAAAAATAAATGATTTATTAGTGAAAAAATATATATATTTATATTTGTATATTTTTATTTATATTCATAAATCTATTTGTAAGTAAATAAATCATTTATTAAAAATCATTAGTTTCTTGCTAAAATATTTTTTTTGCTCGATGGGCAGAAAGCGTCAAATTTCGGCCCGCTGCGCTAAACGAAATTGCCACTTTCTGCCTTCGTCGAGCAAAAAAATAGCATACACTCCTCGGGAAGTAAATAAGAAAGCCTCAGATCACATGTTTGTTGACCTCGGTTTCGCCTCGGGCAACAATTACATGTGATCTGAGACATTTCTTACTTTACTTCCCTCGGTGTGTAATATACTATTTTTGAATACTAAAAGAAATAGGTTTAACTGATTGGGTAATGTAAAAATTTATCGAAAAAGTCTTCCAAAAAAATATTCATTACTTATTAAATCTGTTTTAGTGAAAACAAATGTTGATTTAATCTTAATAGAGCTTATTGTTGAATAATAAAAATGTTTTTATTAAAAACTAAAAAATGATCAATATGATATTTATAAAAAAAAGCATTGTTAATAATTTAAATTGGTGTTTTCTCCTAAAAACATCTCGTAAGATATTTTTTAAAAATTGATTTACTAATTTTTAGTACATATTAGTTTATAATTTGGTCAAACGTTAAATTAAAACAATAATACAACATAGTAATGACTAACACGTATATTAATTGTTTTCAAGTGTAATAAACAATTAACCAGAGCATCGGCCAAGCAATGGCTGATAATCAAATCACATACCATTATAAATCATTTCGCTGCAACATGACAAATCATGTCGCTGCAACATGATTTCATCATGTTGTATTTACTATATATTTTTTTCCGTGTATAAAATGAAAGAAAATTTCAAGATATTACATCGTCTTACGATAGGGCGAAATTCCAGGCCCTACAGGATTTTCCCATGCTACCGTAACACGGTTGTCATGTAGCGGAAACATGACAAATCATGTGGCTGCAACATGATTTCATCATGTTTATTTACCAAGACTGCATCATGTTGCATTTACTATTTATTTTTTTCCGTCTACTGTTTGGATTACGATCTCAATAATCTAGCACTAAATAAGTTATAGCGATGAGTTGGGGTGTTTTCTTTAAGATTAAATAGCTATTATGTACGAGAAGGAGAATAAGTGTAACTTTAATCAAAATTAAAGAGAACGACAACTTTAACCTAATTATAAGTCAATCCTAATATGTTCTGAGATAATAAAATCGTGCTTCAAAACTCTCAGTGTCTCAGAGTTACTAAAAATAACAAGTTACCTGAAGATTTGAAAGCTCGTCCGACAAGATCACGCTGATATGATGGAAGTTTCACTGACGTAACATAATAATATGACATCATTTTGTACTCTATTCCTAAGCCACGGATCAGGAGTGATTCGCTTTAATGCTAATTGAGAGATTCAGGATTAAGTAGATTCAGAGTTAAGTATCTACTTAAATTAAAGACAGCAGCACAGCAGACAGAAACTTCAAGACGCACGGAGATCACCAAAGTTAAGCAGCATTGAGCAGGGTTAATAGTTGGATGGGTGACCGCTGGTGTTATAGCCATAAAATTGGATCTAGATATTTTTTTTACATCTTGATCGGTTACACAGAATTGCGTAGGACCATATTAAATACTCTATCCATAAAATTAACCCAATAATTAATTAGATGTAATAAATCTATAATTAAATATTGTTATATATAATTATATATAGTTATATATAATGATATATAATTAGATATGATTATATTTGGCCATTTTTCATATATAATCATATATGAATATATGTTATAATAAATATCATGCGGTAGCCGATAGCTTACCTAGACTCGGCCAGTACAAAACGCCAATGCTTGGCCGAACATTAAAGCCGATGGTTTACCGAGGCTAGGCCGATACAAAACGCCGATACTTGGCCGAGCATTAGCAGCCGTGCCTTGGCCAATGAACGGAAATTGTTGAGCATCGGCAACTTTGTATGGGAAGTACCCTATTACTTTTTATGATCATTAATTGTAGCTTCAGCAAAAATATACACCTTTTGATAGGGTAATATGATCATGTAAAGATCGAATTAGAAGACTTATTGATAAAAACAACAAGACATTCCAGTTGTGATTCGCAAAAAGTTCTATGGACCCTGATAGCCATGTTGCTTACAAGTTAACGTTAAAATGTAGTCCAACTTATGGATAATCTACGGCCGCAAATTAACTTCAAGTTCATTCAATTATATTTTGGATTGCAAGGCTTGACGCCAACTTGTAGATAAGTTTGAGACAACATTTGTGAACATCACAGATTTTAGGAATTATTTTACTTTACATTCAAATGTTGAGAAATTGAATAGTTTTATGATAATCCATCACATATTCGATGCAACAAAATATGAAGAGTGCAAATATGATCCCAGATATATTCAGTAAAAGATCGAAAAATTTTTCGCAATTTATTATCTTTTAATATCAAAGTTAACATGAATGTAAAGATCAACAACGATCCAAGATAATTATATTTATTCACTTAGTGGCATATCACGGTTATCCAAAAACACTAAAATTTCTTATGGATAAACAAAATTTTTTTAGATCTTTAGTCAGACTGCCATTTTATGTTTTAAAAAATTATATAAAAAATTCAGATAACAATGATCTCGAAGTTAACCAATTACACATGCCGTTGGTTGACACCGATACCATTATGATGGTTAAATTAATTAATGAAGATATGTTTAAAAAGTGCTTATATAATGTATTTCACGAAAAATAAATTGAATTAATGGATCATTTAATAGAAAGATAAAGTGTAATTAAAGAATTTGATGAAATATTGATGAAAAATATAAAATACTCATATCTTATAAAGTGAAAAAAAATTACATATTTTTTCGGTAATTGCGTAGTTGCTATGTATGAAGCTATGATGCTATTCAATATTGAATATATGCATGCTTTAAAATTAATTTTGGCAGGATACAATTAGGTAACTTCCGATCTAAATGAAAAAAGTGAGATTGAAGAGTTCAATTTAATGATTTACTACCGATTTAACGCAACCAGAAGACAATTTTACATTTTGAGAAAGTAAAAGAAATTTCAATTTTAGTAATAAAATTATTATTATTATTATTATTATTATTATTATTATCACAAGACTGCATTTTATGAATTAAAAATTATTTCATCAATCATAATTTAAAAAACTTCATTAGAGCGTGTAAGCCTAATTTGCTCTTAGAATCTTATTTTTATAATTCAATCAGTTATTATTAATTTCAATCATAAATTAATGTCAAATTCTATTTTTTAAAATTCTTCATTTACACGGAAAAGTAAATTGATTTTTTTTATACCTAAAAATCAATTCAATATCTGTTACGTGTATAGTACTTTTGTTCAAGTTATGTTCGAAATATCGCTACCTTAAATAGTCGAAGAATCATTACGTAAAAAATTCCGACTTAGACAATTTGTTATTCAGAATATTGAAATACAAAAATAAATATAAATATAAAAGTTCACATAATTAAGAAAAAAAAAAAAAAAAAAACATTAATTATTGATACTAAGATATGGCTAATTTTAATTTTTTTTTTCAACATATATATTTATACGTATATATAGATATATACGTGAAATGAAGGGTCAGTTTTTCAATCGGATAAAAATAAAATTATTGTTGTGATTATATTTATATATATGAAATATATAGATATATTTGAAAATTGGATAAAAAAATTCATATTTTTTAAAAGTAGTTCTCAAAATTAATAAATAATTTCAAGTGCTTAAGTTAATCAACCGTATACATCATTTAATAATAGCCTGAATATTCAATTAATCTAATTAGTATAGCATACCATTATGCCAATATATTGACACATATAATACCAATAAGTAATGAATTTGCTAAACCAAATGCAATAAAAGTTAAGTATTAGTATAATAACTATGCAAATCATTTTTAATATTTTAAAAAAGTAATCTAGCTTAAATTTTATGTTCCGATTATTGGTCCCCATAATTTGGAAATTAATAACTTAAATTTATATAAATATCTATAGATATTATAATATTTTGATTTTCTATACTTTATTATTTATCGAATAAACTAAATGTGAATAGATAGAAAAAAAAAATAAAAAATAACTGTACAATACTAATTCAGTATAGTTATTCATAATATAATACAGACTCGATATATCAAAGGAAATATAAATTATTTATTGAAAATAAATCTGGAATACTTGAATTATTTTTTAAATATTTTATTACACACACTTATAACGTTAAGAACTACAATTACATAATTATATACATAGATGCATTTCGAATCATTACAAAATAGCGCGTAATTTTAACAACTCGGTTGATAAAATTGTTTTTAATGTTGCATTTAGTTATAGATTGCGCTAGCTTATGCGTCAAGGAGATAAGGAGATAATAATTCAACAAGCGAAGTAGGGTATTGGTAATTTCTATAAGAAAATGTTAGAGGGCACTATTTTGTGGGTCATTGAAGGGTTGGTGTATTTGTAAAGTCTTAAATAATTGGTAAATAAATATTTGTCCATCAAATAACAGTACTTTGCACAAAAATAATCAGTTAAATAAAAGTTAAAAATTTGAAATAAATTGATTTTGCTTTTTAATTATACATCAGAAGTGTATACATTATTTTTAGTGAAGCAAGGATTATAAATGTAAATAAAAATATTTACAAAAGTGTATGTGAGAAACTTAACCTCAACTATTTTATTTAATAACTAAATAAATTCTATTTTAATTAAAAGGAGTGAAAAAAATACAAAAATGTCTTCACCGATTGTAACACCCGGATCTCAAGCTCTTGAAGCTATTAAAAATATCAAGGATTTGGCTGTATTTAAAAAACCATTAGGTCCTGCAAGACGCAGTAAAAAATTCCGACCAAAAACTTTAGATGAAGACACGTATATTGAAAAAATGGGTGAAATAATACAAAGAGATTTTTTTCCTCATTTAGAAAAATTAAAAGCTCAGAATGATTATCTAGATGCAATTGAACAAAACGATGCTAAAAAAATGAGAGATTTATATACAAAATACAGTTCTGGACAACCACTTACTGAAAGAATAACTAGTCCAGCAACATTTGAAACTCCCTTGCGTGAAGATACTAATAATCTTACGAAAAATAATAAAGATTCACAGCATTGTTCAACAACCGGAGAAAATACTACAGATAATAAAACACAGGTAATGGGTTTGGATGTATATCTAAGCACGCATACAAGTGAAGATAATGCGAGTTTTGAAGAAATGATGGAAGAAGCAAATAAACGTCAGAGGATTAAATATGCTTGGTTATATAAAATGGAAGAAAATTCGCAAGCTCCGAGTCTTAATGCTAATGAAAATACTTTATCTATTACTGACAGCAAAAGTTCAAAACCATTAATGCTAGATACTTGGAATTATAGAAATAAAAACTACATTATGTATATACCTGATGGCGTAGAATTGACACCAGAAGAAAAAATAGAAATGGCTAAAAGGAAACAAGAAATAATTCATTCTAATACAAGGTTAAATACAAATCCATTCAATGAAAAACACAATAAAGAGACACTTAATGAATTAGCTAAATCTCAATTAAAAGTTTATGACGGAAAAATTGGTGTTGACGGTAAGGAAGTTATTAGAAATCTTACACCAAAAGTAAATGGTTTCAGTTTTGTTGCTACTCCAAGTCCTAGGCCAGAAGATTGTGAAAGTCCTCTGATGACATGGGGAGAAATTGAAGGTACACCTTTCAGATTGGATGGCGGTGATACACCGATATTAAGGTCTAATCAAGGGCCATCATTTCGTATGGCTGAACCACCTAAAAGAGAAAAGTTAGCTCTACAATTAGCAGAAAAAGCCGGTGAACGACACAGAGATAGGAAAAGTAAAGCACTAGAAGCTGCTAGAAAGTCATTTGCAACGTAAGCTACTTTTATTTTCTATTTTTAATTTGTAATGTATAATCAATTATCAGTAATGAATTACTAACTTAACTTTATTAATACTTTCAGGCCATCACCTAGATGCTTATCAACAATTGATCGTCTCAGCACAATGTCACCAGCAGCAAGAAGATTAGCCACGCAAAAACTCCGGATTGTTGGCACTCCAAGTCCTCGGCGTACACTATTAAGATCACCATCGATTGGCGTAAAAACTCACAGCCTATCACACCGAGCTACACCGAATCACACTTCATTAAAAGAAGTACATTCAGATGGCACTTCTAAATCTAAAGATACTATACTTACTGATAATCTACTAAATTTACCTCAAAGACAAAGAGCTTCCGACTTTTTTAATTAGTTGGCAGAATATATAAAGTAAATTCAATAATTATACTTTTCTGTTATCCGTCAGAATTGAAAAATATTATTTAATGATATAGAGATTAATCCTATAAATATTTTTAAATATACATCTTTATTGATTCTAATTAGTCTTTGAAATTTTTTTGTATCTATAAAAAATATTAACTATAATATCTTTTTGAAATTAAAATAAAAAAATTTTTTCTTGGTCAAACGGAAGAGTATGAGATTCTTGATTGTCTATACAATATCATTTCTTTGGTAATTAAATGAGTTAATGAGGAAGAGAATTATGCAAAATTTAGTAAAACAAAATATTATTTGACAACCAGTTAAATTAAACATTCCAAAATGACCGGAACTTAAAAAATAATAAACGTATTCAGAAACATTCGTCTGCATTGAAATTCAATTAAATCGTAATATTTAAGGTAAAACATTTCGCAACTCAGGAATAAAAACAGAAAAAATTTTAAACAAGTATCTGCGAATAATAAATGCAACAAATGTATACTAATATTTCTCGACTTATTTGTTTTTAATAAACACCAACAATTTATTTTTTTTACATAAAAACAAAGATCGTATTATTGTTTCCATACTAATTATTGAAGAAATGATGTAACGACGGATTAATATAAATAGCTGCAATGAATTAATGCTGACCAGAATTGAGTTAGCTGTTCATCTGTTAATACTTTACTCAAGTTACAGTATAAGTATTCATCATGAAGACTGTTGTAAGTTTACTTTTAATAACATACGCTACAACGATATCGGCTCGTGAGCATCCGGAACTTTGCGGAGGATTACACACTGGTGTAAATCCGTGTAGAGAATGTGATCGTGCCAATATAGCCCTCTTTGGAGCTGATTCACAATATAAGTCTCCAAGCTATGGATTTCCATCATTTAATAATGGCGCTTCTGGTAACAAACAAACAGTCTTGGCTCCATCTCCAATTTCTAGTTATGGACAAGTGACCTATAGTGGGTCAGGCTGCGGTGGTATTGGACCAATTGTTCAGGAAACAACTCAACAAATCATGAGCAATATCGGCACTGGAGGGGTGTTGTCAACAGATTCTAATGTTAATGCTGTGCAAACGTATTAAATCTTATATTATTTATTTATTTTATATTTTATACATCATATAATTGCATCTATTTTTATATTTTTTAGGTTCCAACCAGTCAATGATATTTGTTCTCATCGTAAAGGACTTTTAAAAAATAACTTCCTTCATAAACAAAGAAAATTGATTGTTAGGCCTGCTCGACCAAGTAGAATTACATGCAAGATTGATAAGCCCAACTCATCAACTTTTGGGTCAGGAAGTGGAGAATATAATTCTAATATCTTTCAAAATAAAAAAACTACAACCACATTGAACAATTTTATGAATAAAGCCACACATAAAAAAATCTTTAACGGTAATTCAGTGAAAGAAATGAATAAATTTCCTATCTTCAATGGCGGCAACACAGCACTTAGCAATATCATAAATAAAATCAGCTCAAATACCCTAATATCTTGTGGTAGTGTTTCAAACGCTATTAGTCAAGGAAACAATATCTTCAGTACAAATAATTTAAATACTGTAGCAACTAATACTAATACTAATACTAATACTAATACTAATACCAACATTAATTCTGCAAGCCACAACGTTTTTAGTGGACTGACGACGGTATTATGTGATGGAAAATCAAATAATAAAGAAAGCACTGTGAATACTGGTTTAAAGGCTGAGCTATTAATCCCAGTCACATATACTAACAATAATCCTAATGGTCAAATAAATAATGGACAGCTCAACAATTGCCAATCAACTAATAATCAGCTAATCATCAGTGGTCAATCATCTAATGGTCAATTCACTAACGCTCAATCAACTACTGGTCTAGTCAATGGTCAATCAACTACAAGTCAAATAAATAGTCAATTTAATAATGGAGAATCGCAAGATAGTCAGTTAAAAACTTCAGCAATAGTAAACTTTATAGACCCTTCGAGTGGAAATATTCGTGCCATGACACGAGAAGAATTTTGTGACGATAAAAGTAATCACTTTTATTTCATTTTATTCTAACTCCTTTAAAATTATATTCATTTATTTATTTAATAATTTTCAGAATTATCATACGAAGAACAAGAAAAAATGTACAAAGATGAGAAGCCAACAGGACCTGTTGATGCCGTCTCATGGGAATTATATCTAAATAATTTCATGGCATCATTGATAAAGACACAAACACCTCAACCAATCAAACAAATATCTGAAGTAGGATTAGCGTACAATTACAAACAACCACCAGTAAATGAATATAAAAAGCCAGAAAGAGAGATCCCTGAAGAATCCTTTCACATTAGTAAAGGACAAACAATTCAACTCAACAATACCGCGCCAAATGTTAATTCGAAGATACTTATGGATCAACTGTAATTATTTATTATTTAGCATTTTATTCTAATCATTTTACACTTTAATAATAATCTTTCTTTTTTTTTTGTTTTAGTAAAAGTAGCTTTAAAAAATATGAACCATGTAATAACAAATTCATTCAGCATAGTCCAACTGAGCAAGTTGTCGCAGGTGGCCGAGTAAGTCCAGATGATGTGCCTTGTGGAACCATTGGAACAGCTCTACCTGATTATCGACCCGGTACAATAGAAGAAAGTCAAGTTAACAGCGAATACAGTGAAGGAAATTATGAAGTACAGTCCTGTACCTATCTTTAAAAAAGTTATTTATGACTATGCCTCAATAATCAAGCGAAACTTCAAAAAGTATTAGAGAATTGATTTTATGAAATATTTTAAAGTTTTATAAAGTTAAAAAGTATTGTATTGACTATTAACTTTAAATCAAATAAAATTTAATGATATTATTACATAAATATTCAATACTTATAACGTTGTTCCTTTCACCTTATTCAACAAACGACAGTTAATCTGCTTTTATTTAATGAATTGTTTAAAAGCAAAAGACAAAGTCGTATGTTGAAAAAAAAAAAATAAATTATAGTTTTAATATTTAAAAAAAAACATGACAAAATACAAAAGAATGATGATTCATTTATATGATAAATATAAAATTCAGAGTTGTAAAGAATCAAGGGAACTGACTTGTTTTAAGGGTTCTGACGCATAACTTGTCGGTTTGATAAATTTATCGTTTACTCACTACTCTTTCTGTCTTGATTCTAAAGTATGCCTGTCAACGGCTCATAAAGTTTCTTGTTCAAGCAAGTAGTCTTTAGAAGCAAAAAAGATAGAAAAATTTCATGCCATATGGTGTTCCTTCATAATCTTTTTGAGTTTACTATACACTCATTTATTATTGCAGACAAATTAGATTATATAGTACTTACATATCCTTATATGTAACTTGAAAAAATAGGCATAGAGAAAAAATAAAAATAAAAATAGGAAATAACATTTCCAAAATTCTACTTTTTAGATCTTTAGTTAAAAATTTACTTAGCGTCGGTACTTTTTTATTTTACTCATTTTTTTTTTTTTTTTCAATAATTAATTGAAAATTTGTTCCAGTAATCACATCGTAAGCTCTTTAAGATAATTCAATTTTTGACCGGTTTTTCAGTTCTCTACGATAAATTTTCATTAAAACAAAAAAAGCACCATTCAGCCACACCCGAGATGGATGGTAGATATTGTCATAAATATAATATAAATTAATAAACTTATGAAGCACATAGATAAATTTTTGAACCAATGGTATTTTTGAAACCTTCTCAACTAATTGAGACATATAATAGCAAAATCAGATGAAAATTTCACCATGAGAACAAATGCAATAGATAGATTTTTACAAAATCTACCTGAAAAGTTATTTATGATTTTAGTAATTAATAATCTGAATAATAATTGTACAGAAAACAAAAGCGGAGTTTTTCAAGCTGCAAAATATTTTTTACAAATCTTTGTTACTAGTTTTTGATAGAAAAATTTCTTCTAAGCTAAAATTTCGATTGAAAAAGAAGTAAAATTCGTATAGTCAGATATGGTTACGTAACAATTCATCCGCGGACGATTGATCCGCACGACAAATGATCGTATACAGTATACACTTACTGTATACACAGCGATATATTAAAATGATTAACGATAATGATGGAAATAATTAAAGTCAGATATTTATTTGAATTAGCATTGTCTTTAATTGTTAACTTTTCTACCTTAAAATATCCCTAAAAATTATCTTTACCGGAATGACGAAGGGCATACCATTCATGATATGATTAACATTTTTTTTGTTAATATTTCCAGCATACTTTAAAGTTTCATTTCGACGGTCTAATTAGCAATTGGTCTAACTCCTTATTTTTTATAGGGTGATTTTTTAATATTTTTATGTAGCATTAGTCCAATTATAAATTATTTGAATGATCCAAACCAAGATATATTATAACTATATTAGATATTAATAATATTAAATGGTTTTTTGAAGTGATAATAAATTTTGAACTAATTTTTTTTTTTACAAATTTAAGATTCTCTAAAATGTAGTTAGACAATTTGCTAATTTATATTTTATTTTATAAAAAAAAAGGTTTCATTTAATTCTGTCAATTATCTCGTAATTAATTAATTACGAGATAGAATAATATAAATTAATGATTATCGGATCGTTTCGGTGTTTTAGATTTTTTACCTTATTTTTTTTTTCTTAACTATTCTAAAAGATAAAAAGTTTAATAATAAACCATTTCAGAGGATTGCTAGTTATTAGAAATAAAAAATGTGTCCTAATTTTTAATACATCAACATTTGGCAGGAATGTTTTTTGTATTGTAACATAGCCAAATCTGCCAAATCTGGTTTCCGTAAAATCTTAATTGAAGTACTTGGGTACCAATAATGATTATTTGCCTTAATTCAAGGAGAGAAATTCTTGAGCAAAGAAATCGTTTTAATTTTAACTAAATTTTACTTGGTTCAAGAATTTTTTTAGTTGATTAAAAACCATGACATTTTTTTAAAATAATTTTCTTGGTTCAAAATTTCTCGTATCAATTTTTATTACCTTGATTTTTTTTTCATGTTCAATTTAAACGTAAAAGCTTATTTTAATTTATGATATTTTTAACCGATTTATTACTATTATAGAATAGTATGTCAATTGACATTATAGTAAAAATTATCAGGAATGAAATAGTAGTGGAATTGTAAAATTTTACTGTTTCTTCGATAAAATTAGATTGCAGTATCGTTATAGCTAAATAAATTTTTCTATCTCAAATTTTACCAGATAACATTGAAAAATAAATATGATCAATATGGTAATTATTGATTATCGTTGATAAATATCTTCCTAGGATTTGCTATTAATCTTTTAAATCAAAAATAAACTTACTCAATATTCCGCTGAGTTTACAAAATAAAACCTAAAAGATAATTTCGCTGCTTCCGTAATAAATGTTTACGAAATATGCATATACGGAAGCAAATCAAGAAATAAAAACTTTATAATTTTTACTTGTATGTTATAAACAAAAAACATTACTTACTAATAAACTCTCTTTGCTTGGGATAACCGATTCATAAACAATCATATTGACAGATTTTTTTCACGATTAGCATGTTTATTTTTTTGAAAACATTTCCTGCAGAGGAGTATATATGAGGGCAAGTCATGAGATGTCTTAGCACAGTCTATACAAGCATTCATCATGAATACCGTTTCAAATTTATTAGCAGCAGTTCTTTTGGTGACACTGTTTTGCAATACATTCTCTCATCCTGATGTGCAGAGAAATGAAAATCAAGACACTCCCGTGGGACTTCATCAAATTGAAGAAGGAACTGTTGATCCAAATTCACAGGTAAACAATTGAAATTGTTTTTTAATTTTTTTTTTTATCAAATTGCCAGTTATTAAAAACAATTATGTTTTGCTATTTTCCAGGTTAATTTAAAACGATCGAGTCGTAAAGTTGAATGTCCTTTCGCTAAACTGAAGAGTGCAAAGTCTTCATCAAGTTATCGAACGCCAAAATGTCCATTTTCTTCAAAGCAGTCATCTCCAGAGAAATCGTACAAATTCATAAATACATGTGAAGAAAGCAGTGACATGTCCAGCTTCATCACACTATTTGGTTCCATTGTGGAAGAAATTTTTATACAGGTGAAAACGTTGATGGATATTATGCCAATCGCACTAGATAACATAAAAAATCAAGCAATTTTAATACCTGGATTGATTGAAGATGTTGAAATAACTTCGAATAGTTGTGCTAGAACTCAAAAAGACCTTTCTGGGTTTTTTGATTTTTTTGGCAATATTTTCAAATTTTCTAAACCAGAATCGGATAACTATGAAACAGAAGATGTTGACGTAAGTGGCTGTTTAGAAAAAATTAAAGGGCATTTAATGAAATTCCTTGGATTTTTAAAACCATGCATGAAAAGTTCTGGAGGTGTATCTGTTGAAAGAATCTCAAAAATTGAAACACTTCTTGAGCATCTTTCACCATCTAAATTTAAAACTTTATCACCAGTATGTGTGTCACCACCGAGAATATTTAAGTATCCATCTCTGGTTCATAAGCATTCAGGTTCTAGTTTCGGCACCTGCGACGAAAGTGTATCAGTGACTGACCAAATCTATAGGTTACGAGAATTATCTACTTTCATGGATCAATTCCCAACAATCATCAACGAAATGATGGAGGCAATAAGAGGTGTATCACAGAATCATGTCCAAGTTAAAGAAGTTTATCCAATTCCGCCAAGCCATTCAACTTTGGATTATTCGCATCGTGCTTCCTATAAACCATGTAGTACTAAACCTGGTTCGACGGAAGTGCATACTTATTATAAACGACCAACCGTTGACATTGTTGAACCACCAAGGATTTACCAAATCCCAGCAAGAACTCCGATTTCATCTTGCACAGGACAAAGTATAATTAATGAAATTGCAATGAAAACGGCATCTGATGGTAGGAATTTCAACATCGATGCATCAAGCATTTCAAACATGGATCTATCAAATACTAAAGTAACCCTTGATAGATCCACTGTTAAATCCATGCTTTATGAGGATAATCTTAATGCCGGGGATGTTATAATTATCAATATTACTAATGATATTATGCTTGTCGGAGCACCTTTTGATGACGTTTCTCCTATAATGTTCAATATTGTATATCGAAAAGTTTCCAACAAATCACCCTACAATTATAAAACGACAATATGGAACCTCGCCAGTCAAGATTTTTCCTGTAATCAGCAAATATTCAATGATATATTATCCGATTTAACAGTTTTATCTACTTATTAATTAATAATGAAATAAAACTATGTAATAATATTATTTATTTTTATTTATAAAAAGTATATCTTACCCTAATAAATATATATAAATATTGTATAATATGAAATGAATAAAATTATCTACAAATAATTATATCACAATAAGATGCAATCATCTCCTAATTTTTTAAACCATTTAGTACTTCTACGACAAAAAACCATTTCTTCTCTTGGAAATCCTGTATTAGCTTCCTCTTTTCCAATTATAAATACTTTTTATTATTTTCGAAAGTTATTAATAAAAACTATTCTTTAATATAAGTTTTTTGAATAGCATACGTTTTTACAACTAAGTCATTATTATATGGAATATTGATGTAATGGTATACTTAAACCAAATAGACACTATTATAAGAAAATTTTAATTTAATTAGCCAGTCGGCAAAAGTTACCCTCAGTGACGAAACGACTGATAAACCAAAAACTCTATTATATAATGTATAGAATGGCAAAACTTTTTAATGTTAGTTTTTAAACTTGAAACGTATTTTGTGATAAATGGTTAATTAAAATGTAACTTAAAAAAAAATTTTTTTTATACGAAAATAATCTGAAAAACAGTGTTTTATTATTCATTTTGTTATCTATAATTATAAAGTAAAAAGTAATATATTATTTAATTATGGCGTTGGTGCAAGTTTTTTTTTTTTTCAATACAACTTTTGTTCAAATAGTTAACTTTAACGGAAAATTGATTCCATATAAAAAATTTTATTGTTGCTCCATGTTAAAAATTGCGTTTATAAATGAAATCATAAACTCTTCAAACAAAAAATATTATTTTAACTTCCCTCTATAAAAATCAATGATTTTTTAAAATTTGGAAAGATATTGACTCGACTCTGAATTTTTGAATTTTTTCAAGTTTCGAATTTGGTTCAACAGATTTTAAAAAATCGCCCACTGCCGCAAACCGCATCGAAATCGTTCGGTTCGTTCAAGAGATAACATTGTCGAAAAATTTTGAAAAAAGTTTTTTTTACATAACTTTAGAATTTCTGGTCGGATAGTTTTTAAAGTAAGATGGAGGTTGTTATCTTTTTATGATCATAAAACTGCGTTAAATGGATTCAAATCGGTTGTTTTATTCAGAAGTATCGCCACTCAAAATAAAAAAATTAGGAAAACGGTTGACCCTAAAGGCCATCTTTGCAACTTCCCGCTACCTCCATACCTAAGTGCTCAACAATTCACTTATTTTTTAAGCTCTTCGAGCTCAAAAATATAATTTTTGTGTAATTTTGAGCTCTCCGAGCTCAAATGAATCGCTGTTCTGTGTTCTTGAGCTCTTCCAGCTCAAAAGGCTAATGGAAGTTTTATAGAACACTATTTTTTGAATTTTCAAACCGCAATAACTTTTGAATGAATTTACCGATTTTCTCGCGGTTCACGGCATTCAACGCAGTTTTTTGAGTTCTTTGAAACATTTTTGAGCGTAAACTCGTCAGACTAAAAATTTCATAGCAATTCTGAAAAAAAACATTTTTTTGAATTTTTTTCGACAACGATATCTCACGAACAAATCAACCGATTTCGACCGGACTGGTGGCAATCGACATGGTTTTTTGAGGTTAAGAGCTGATTAGTTTTTAGAATTGATCGGTTCAGCCGTTTAAAAGATATTTCAAAAAAACGAATTTTTGGAAATTTTATTTTTGAGATTTCTCAAAATTGATCGACTCAAATTCTGCAAATTAGTATCAGAATTCTAGGGGCAAAAGAACTCTTCAGAACGCCGCCTATTTCGATCGAATCGGATGATCCGTTCAAAAGTTATGAGAGATTTACACACACACACACACACACACATACATACAGACACGGTGACATCACCGCGGAAATAGTCAGGAAAGGTTCCTAGGACCTCGATTGAGGACATTTTAAAATGTCGAGATCTGATGAAAACTCGATTTTCGAAAAACGGAGTGAAAACAATAACTTCCCGATTTTCGAAAATTTTCAATTTTCTTAGCGGGAAGTTAAAAAGTGGCTAACTTGGAAAAAATAACGATTTTGCTCAAAAAAAACCGATTATTTCATAGAATTGATTATATTAAATTGTTTTTGTGTATTTTTTCGAAAATTTCATTCAAAAACAAAAACTTTAAAAAAAAAAAAAGGTATCCAAAGGTCAATAAAGTCTAAAAAAGTTATGGCTATTTGAAAATAAAAAAGCCATTTTTTTGGGAAATATATAACTTTTTTTGGGTTGGATGAAAAAATTCTCAAAAATGTTTTTCAAAGAGTAGAAAAGAATGATGAAGTTTCAGCTAAATCTAAAGGGGTCGAGTTCAAAAGTGGTCGATTTGGCATGGAATACCCCATATATATTTAAATTATTAATAAAACTCACATATTTGACAGCTGATCTGAGTAACACAAAGAAAATGTTAAAATCAACACTTTATTTGTGTTATGGATAACATTTAAGTGTGTAGAAATCCGAGAATCAGCCGATGAAAGCTTTAACATATTTTTTTGTTACTTTTAACACAGAATTATGTTGATTTGATCAATACAAACAGTATGTGTAGAATCAACATAAATTTTGTGTAAAAAAATTATCTACACAAAATTTTATGTTAAATTTTACGAAAATTTTTTTACTGTACACAGTAAAAAATTTTCCGTCATTGTGTAAAAAAAAAGTGAGTGTTAAATATTTAACATTTTTGTGTGTTGAATTAACACACGCGGCAAGTGTACTTTCATCGGCTTAATTATAACACACTAAAATGTTATTAGAGATTGAAATAACACTTTTTTAATGTTACTCTGAAATCAACACACCATTTGTGTTGAAAATCTTTTCCAAACAGTGACAAGTATCAATAACATTTTTAAATGTTAATTTAACACAGAGAATGTGTTAGTACGTTCATCAATAACACATAAAAAGTGTTGAATTGACACTTAGCGCGTGTTAAGTTCGGCGTCGTTCGGCACATTGCGCGGGAATATTGGTTGGGTGCGAAGTATATGGTGGGGAGGGCTGGCGCTGACTACCACTTTTACGTGTAAATCTTATGAGAAGAGCATGATTTAACGCTAATGGCGACTACCGAAACTAAATTACTCCGTTTGATTTAACATAGGAAAAGCATGAAAAATGAGGGCAGCACCATCGTGCACCTGGCCAATAACCTTTTCTACGTTCCAGTGATGTGACATTGTGTATGTGTTAATTAACAAATATTCATTAACCATTAATAAATATTTATTAAATCCTATGATGTTAGAAAATCATTTATTAACAGTTAATTAAGTTTATTAAATATAAACAAATCCTTCTATCAGTGCAAATATAGAAAAATTTCTTTGAATAACCTAATTTGCTCCGAAGAGTTCTTAATTCTGGTTTTAAATACATTATAACTCTAATTATCCGAGTAACACATCAGAAATGTTGAAATTTACATTCTATAAATGTTACAAATAACATTTTAATGTGTTAAAATTGAGGAGCTTATCCGAACTAATTCTGACACTTTCGTATGTTACTTTTAACATGCAAGTATGTTATTTCTTCTAAAATAAAAAGTCGAGCCCAAGTAACACTCACTGCGTGTAAAAAAGTCAGTAACACTCGTTTAAGTGTTAAATTTTACGGAAAATTTTTTTCTGTGTATAAATTCTAATTTCATATTATTATTATTATTATTATTATTAATTTATCACAGAAACTTTCTTAAAACCAAAAAATTTTTTAATTTACTTCAATTGAATTTAATCTGCCTGAGTACTTGGCTTAGCATCCATCTTGAATTCCAGAGTGGATTTGAGAAATAAATATTAGCTCGGCTAAATTTTCCAAGGTCAAAATTTTATTATGATTTTTCTCAATAATTATTTACTGGAATATGGAAATATTTATTTATCGAATATTATTTGATATTCATCGCTTGCTGTTTTTCGCAATTTTTCGCCTTTTGGTTTTTTGGATTTTACTTAAAATTTTGACGGTGTACGGGGAAAACTGACTTCATATTCGGATTCAGCGCGTCAAAATACATAAAAATAGGTAGATCTGGTCAAAAGTACTGACAACTTTTTTTTGTGTGCCGGTGTAATTTATAAAAAAAACTGGATGGTCAAAATCTTCAAAATTTCTTCGGATTATTTTAAGTATATTATTCTAACAGGTATCACTTTTTTGAAGCGATCATAAAACCTTTTCAATGCAATAACCATTAATATTTTTAATTTCCTCACTTTCCACTCATACTGTCTGTGCTAAAATGTCATTATTTTTAATTACAATTATCTCATTTCTGGTATGGTCAATTGATTTCAAATTTCAAAAGCACATGTTATGCGTATTCTACTACCTATATTTCAAATTTCGAATTTATAGCCGAACTATCTTAAGTAGAAAATAATTCCGAATAAATAAGCTTATACTTATTTTTCCAGGCTATGTATCGTACCGCGACGAAGAAATTGGATCATTCTATGTGCAATCCTTTTGCAGAGTTATGGAAGAGAAGTACCAGCTTTATGATATTTTTTCGATTCTTACGTTTGTGCATTTGGATATGTCTTTAAGGTATCAGAACGCAGTCAATATGAAAACAAAACAACAATTATATCAAGTGCCGTGTTTCGAACCATCGCTGAAACGTCTTCTTGACTTCTTTCCAAAGAAGAAACAAAGAAAAAGGTTGAAAAATCGAAAAGTGCACACCTCATCATCCAAATAATAATTTAACGACAGAGAATTGAACGCTCAGATTAATGAAAAAAATCCATCGTGTGTTATTTGAGATAATAAAAAAAAATTATTTATATTATTTATATTAGATAATTTTTACATCAAATCTAACTATTGTAATCTTAAATCCTTTACATACACCAATACCTTTACTGATCATTTTCCTATCTTTGTAAGCTTTAAACCCTACAAAATTAATAATAATAATAATAATAATAATAATAATAATAATAATATTAAGTGCAATAATAACAATACTTCGATTAATTACAATCGTCTTATTAATCTTAGTAGTGATTATAACTGGTCATATTTATTGGAATTTCGTGATCTGGATCATTTTTTCATTGCACTGACTGATAGCATTAAAACATTAGTTAATAATGCCAAAAACAAACCGAGAAATAACAATAAAAAAAATAAACCGCGAAAACAATGGGTCACGCAAGGGATAATGAACTCCTGTAAGACTAAAGAGAATTTATACAATATCTGGAGATTAAATAAAAATAGTGTGGAACTTAAGACGCAATATACGTCTTATTGTAAAATTCTTAATAAAGCAATTAAATTAGCTAAAAGTAATTTTGAAACGAAAAAAGTCAAAAATTATTACAATGATAGTAAAAAATTATGGAATTATGTAAATTCTAAGTTAGGGAAAAACACTGTAACTAGGGATATTGATTACTTAATTAATGATAATGATGAAATTGTTGTTGATAAGAAAGCTATGGCAGATAATTTCATAGATTTCTTTAGTAATGATGGAAACAAACTTGCGAGCAATCTTGGTAAACCGGTGAAAATAAATATTGAAAAAACTGTAGAACATAACTGTAATAGTATTTTCTTATCACCAACAAATCAGACTGAAATTGAAAAAATAATTAATGAAATGAAAGAGAAATCTGGTGGAGTTGATAACATACATAGTAAAGTAATTAAGTGTATTGCCAAAGATATTAGTTTACCTTTAGAGTATATCTTTAATTTATGTATTAGTAGAGCAATCTGGCCTAATGCTCTTAAAAAAGCTGATATTATCCCTATTCAGAAATCTGGCAATAAACACCTAGCAACTAATTACAGGCCAATATCACTAATATCTAATTTAGCTAAAATATTTGAAAAAATAATTTATGTAAGATTGTATGAATTTTCTATTGGTAATAACTTGATATCAGACAAACAATTTGGTTTTATGAAGAATAGAGGTACAGATGATGCTCTCGCCTTTACCTCTAGTTTTATATATGATAATTTAGACAAAAATCGTGCATCTGTACTGGTTTTCCTAGATCTAGCAAAGGCTTTTGATACAGTTAATCATAAAATCTTGCTTGATAAATTGTGGCGCAAAGGAATCAGAGGTCTACCTCATAAATTGATTGTTAGATTATCTATCAGGTAGAGAGCAATGTGTTAAATTGAATAATTGTACTAGTGATTATAGAATTGTAAAAATTGGTGTTCCCCAAGGTACCATCTTGGGACCACTTCTCTTTATTATGTACATAAATGATATTTTTAATATTCTGCCTCCTGATGCTCTTGTATCATATGCTGATGACACAGTAGTACTGTGTAGTGGATCTAATTGGTTAGTAGTATCTGATTGGTTGAATAAGCTAGATCAATGGTTAATAGTTAATCAGTTAACGCTAAATGTTGATAAATCGACATTTATTACCTTTGGTTGTTACACTGACAGTGTGCCTACAAATTTTCATTTGTACATTAAAGATAGAGAGTTGAAAAGAGTTGAAAGTTGTAAATATCTGGGAGTAGTTTTTGATTGTAACATGAAATGGAAAAAACATATTGCAGAACTAATGAAAAAACTCAAATAACTTCCTCTTTTACAAATTAAGTAATTGGATAAACACATCATTACTAAAAATCATATATCATGGTCTATTTGAAAGTGTCATAAACTAAGGAATTATAGCATGGAGGGGGGGGGTGCATATGATAACACTTTAAAACCTATTATAAATCTACAAAATAAAATGTTAAGCAAATTGACAAATTCTGAAGATATGTTAGGACCATTGAAGATTAAACAATCTTTCGTTGTACAAGCCTTAACTTATTATTTTCGTGAATGTAAAACTTTGTACTCTGATAGAGTAATCAATACAAGAGCTAGACAGTTAACTTTACCAAAAATCAATAGAACAATAAGTACTAAAAGTGCAATTTATGTTGCAATTAAATATTTTAATTTACTTCCTAATAATCTGAAAGAGCTAAATTATACCAAATGGTTAAGAAAACATATTGTAAGATGGATAAGATCAATTATAATTTAATTCATGATAAATTGTATTTATGTAAAAATTTTGTAAAATTAATCTTAATTTACGCTGTACACTATTTACTTAGTTAATTTAATATTATGTATTAATTTTTTATAAATGTATTATATTTTTCTGGTGTCTATGCACAGGTGCTTATTGCACCTCTATAAAATTGCTTTACCAGAAGTAAATAAATAAAAAAAATAAATGAACATTAAATGAACATTTATTATTATTATTATTATTATTATTATTATTATTATTATCCAGAAAAGATTATGTTTAATGTTATTATTTTTATCCTTCCATTTTACGTTTTACGTTCAATACGAAGAATTGTTCCACTTTCCAACCCGATCTTCCTATCATCTACATATTGTTCCAGCCTTTCTTTTCTGTAATATTTCTCTCATTTTCTATATTTACATATATCTACTAGGCTGATTTTTTTTTTACTTTTTTTTTTTTCGGTCCCATCGTGAATTCTTGTTGGAAATACTCAAAAAAAAATTAGGATGAGGGTTGACCTTTATGGCCTTTATGGCCATCCCTGTAACTTCCCACTCATTTTGTACTTAAGCGCTCAAAACTACACATTACGTTTTTGAGCTCTCCGAGCTCAAGGCAATGGCGTTTCTATGGTTTTGAGCTCTTCGGGCTCAAAAGTCTGATAGAAGTTTGATGAAACACTATTTTTTGAATTTTCAAACTGCAATAACTTTTGGATGAATGAACCGATTTTCACGCGGTTGGCGGCATTCGACACAGTTTTTTACGCCGCATAAAAAATCTTTAAGTTTGAATTGATCGAACTAGGAATTTCGTAGTAATTCCGAAAAAACACTTTTTTCGGTTTTCTTTGTTCACGATATCTCTTGAACGAATCAACCGATTTTGACCGGATTAGCGGCGATCGACGTAGTTTTTCAAGGTTGAGAGCTGATCAGTTTTTGATCGATAAATCCGCTTGAAAAGTTTAAAAGTTAATAATGGGAAAATTTTGTAGCGTTATGGAGTTTAAATCTAATGGTAAGTTTCTGAGGTAGTCTACAGTGTCAGATAATCTTTCTATCTTGTAAACTTAACCATATATAATATTCTATTTCATAATTGAACTTGGAATAATTAACCAATTTTTGAATAAGATATACTCTATAATGAGTTTTTTAAATCCAAAAATTTTCTGTGAATAATTTTTCGAATTTCGTCATCAAAACTCACCCTCACTTTTCTAATAATGCATTTGATGTTTTCACTAATTCAGAGTTTAATGAGCTTAAATAATAAAGAAATAACTAATATTTTTTTAATGAAAATAACGTTGTCATTGTGAGTTTTTGCTATCGATGATTGAAAATGTTAAACAAAGAGAAGAGACGGATATGAAACGAGTTCATATCATGTCGTGTGTAAAACAATATTGTATTTTTAATTCAAAACAAACAACAATAATAAGATAACATTCACTTTAATCATTCACACGATATCACTATCATTTTAACATTCCTCAGGTATTTTTAAACAATTTTCGACCTACCCTTTATATACGAAGATGCAATGAATGATATTCAGAATAAATTATAAATCCTAGTGTCTACAATGAGAGTTACGCGATATTTTGCTGTGAAAGTAATTATTGTGATCTTGTACTTGTTAACAGTATGTCATTCATATCCTAGCAGTGTTGGAATAGAAAATGATAAAAATGAAGAAATGAAGAAATCCTTTAAACAAAAAACTAAAAACATTATTTTTAATAATGTTAACACTACTCCTCATCAAAATATAAAGGTAGAATTCAATATTTTTCAAAGCAACTTCTTTATCGAGTTTTTCGTTTTGCTTCTTAAAATTTTTTTTGGTGTTCGACACTTACGTTTCACGTATGACTGTTGTAACAAGTGACGTCAAAAGAATAATTTCATTTTGATTCATTTATTCTGATAAATCCTAATATTGAAATCTATTAAATAGTGTTAATAATACATATTTCATTCATCATCAACATGTTTTATACTTTTTTCATTTAGATCTGTATTTTAATATGATAATTTATAATATTTTTTTTATAATTCTGTTATTAAATCGAATTGAGTATAAAAAAAAATATGCATACTATAATCAATTTCTTTAAAAAAGTATTCTAAAAACTGAATACTTTTATTCCTCTTGTCACAAAAAATAAGGAACATTAAAATAATTTTTATATATTTTATATATTTCACAAATATCATATATATGTAAAAAATATGAAAGATTTACGTGGGTACTCAAATGAAGTCTCGATAAGTTTAACATCGGAATGAGTTTATGTCTTTAAAAATGTCAATAATTAAGAAATGATATTGTATCTTGTCAACCAATGATTTTTCAAAAATATAAGCTCATCTCGAAGTTACACTCATTGAGATCTTTTATTTGAATACTGCTCACATAAATTTTTCATATATTGTATATATTTCACGAATATTATATAAGTAACCATGACTAATGTATTTATATATAAATATAGAATTAAAAAAGTTTTTCTTAAACACATGATTACAAATACAAATGGCTGCGCCCATACAATTTGACAATTGGATTACCATACATTTTTCAGCGTGTAGAGTCGATATTTAATTTCTGAACGCAAAATTATCGTGAATTATACATTTACACGGTTGAAAAATATTAAATTGACGGTATATAAATATTAAATTCACCCCCCCCCCTAAATTTAACACGGTATTTGGTATAATTTTCACACGAAAATTTTTACACTGATTCATTGCGATTACACCGGGTCCAACAAATTTTTTACAGTGTATAACTCGAAAAAAGATGGTCAGACAGCAAAAAAAATTTTAGTTTTAAGTATGATGTCTTCGGATGTGGCCATGAAAATTTAACATATACGGTTCCGGGGTAATCTTAAAAATGACACTAAAAAAAAAAATTTTCAAATTTTTGGGCGTCTTAAAAAGTATCTACGGGTTTCAATTAATTTTTCTCTATAATTTTAAAAGCCAATTTTAAACCCTGATTAAAAAAAAGTATTGAGACAAAGAAAAAAGTATTGGTTTTCTAGTCAATCCAATACTTTTCAATACTTTTTTTTATTCAGGGAATTTGAGGTTTTTTTTTAATATCCCTTAATTTTTGTGACGAGTATTAAATAAAGTCATATTCCCTCAAAATCATAAACAATTTTTTTGATCAAATCAACCGCTTAATCTAATTAGTTTACCGGAAGTATTAATTAGAAATATGTGCACAAAAAATAATGAAAAAAAAAATCCTTATACTTTTTACGATTTTAAATAATAATTCGCTTTAAAATTTTTAGGATTTTAAAAACATTTTCTGCTTACAAATTTTTAATTTCAGCAAATATTTAGTACTATAATTTTTTCCGTGTACTAATGTAATAATGAATTCCATTCTTAGTTTGTAAGTGAATTTATAACTGACCATCACAACTCCAGTTATTGCTTATATAACAAACTTCTTACAATTATTTATATGCGTAAAATACACACATGAATAATATATATGGAGCAATTTACACTAAATCAACCACTTTGGAATCCCACCCCATTAGCTTTATTTTTTATATGAATTTAAAATTTATTATGATTAAAATTGTAATGTTTCAGATCAATCTAAAAAGATTCGATCGAAGCGTTGACTCGGAATCACCAGAGTTAGGAGCAATGGATCCACTTACTCACGATGATTTAAATTTAAGTGAAATCCTTGTAACGAGTTCTCCTGCGGAAACAACTCAGCAAAACAATTCATGCTGTGGTCAAAAAATTAATTTGTACTTTAAAACTACAGTTAGTATTATCAAACAATGGCTCGATAGTCTAGTTGATGATTGTAATAAAGTAAATGAAATATTAACGTTCGAAACGACTAATAAATCAGATATTGAAAACATAAGATACTGCTGTACAGAGCTTAAAGGTAATTATTTTAAATTATTCAAGTCGGTTATAAGTGCTTTAAAAAAGCTACAAATTGATAATCATTCTGCTATTAATAACACTTGTCCAATTTTGGCTGGATTGGAAAAAATTAAGAATAATATAATAACTTTTACTCAACGGCCGAATAAAATAATGATGATGAATAATCCATTCGATAATTTGTTGAAAAGATTCTCGGGTATGTCTGTATCAACTAATGAAATACCACAAAATACTTCAAATAATTCAAACTCAATGATAAATCATGAAAATACTGGTTTAAAGAAAGTAATCGAAAACTTACGAAACGTGCCACAAAAAATTAAAGTATCCATTAAGGAGCTAATTAATAACATCAGAAAAAATTTAACCCCAGGAAGTTGTCAAAAACTACAAGGATCGACAGACGGTAATACTAGTGATCACGTTGATAATCGATCTCATTCGTCTATCCACCAAAAACTTCCCTTCTTAAATCCTTTCGAGAATGTATTGAAGTTACGCATAATTTTAAATTTTCCATTTAATAATCCAATTTCACAAGCATTCAATAATCTACGTGATTTGCCACAACAAATCAAGGAGATAATCGATGAACAGATTAGTAATATTAGAGATATATTCACGAAGAATGATTGTAGAGAAGTTGCAGAAATGACAAATAACGATTCTGGAGGAAATAATTCATCTGATTCTTCTAATACTCATGAAAAAGTTTCATCCCAAGAACCTTCTAATGGCTTAGTGAAGAACTGGTTCAACTCTTCAATGATTGGAAGATCTATAGACAATAATCCATTTTCACAAGCATTCAATAATCTACGTAATATACCACAGAAAATAAGAAAATCGATCGATGATGTAATTAGCAACATTAGAAATATTCTAACCTCAGGAAAATATAAAGAATCCAAAGCTATGCTAATCCGTAGTGATAGTAACCCAGTAACAAATTCATCTGTTCTGGACGATATTTCATCCCGGAATCCTTTCGTGGATAAATTAAACTTTCCATCATTATTGAAGTCTCCATTTAATAATCCATTTTCGCAGGTGTTTGACAATCTTCGTAATTTATTACAACAAATTGGGAAAACGATAGACGAACAAATTAGTATAATCAGAAACCTATTCACGAAAAACAACTGTAAAAAACTTACATCAATGACAAATAACGATTCTAGAGTTAATAATTCATCTGATTCTTCTACTCATGAAAAACTTTCTACCCAAGAACCTTTAAATGGCTTAGTGAAGAACTGGTTTGGCTTTCCAATCATTGAAAAATCTACAGTCAATAATCGATTCTCACAAGCATTCGATAATCTACGTAATATACCACAGAAAATAAGAAAATCGATCGATGATGCAGTTAACAACATTAGAAATATTCTAACCTCAGGAAAATATAAAGAATCCAAAGCTATGCCAAACCGTAATGATAGTGACCTGTCAACAAATTCATCTGTTCTGGACAATATTTTATCCCGGAATCCTTTCGCGGATAAATTAAACTTTCCATCATTTTTTAAATCTCCATTTAATAATCCAATTTCACAAGTATTCAATAATCTACGTGATTTGCCACAACAAATCAAGAAGATAATCGATGAACAGATTAGTAATATTAGAGATATATTCACGAAGAATGACTGTAGAGAAGTTGCAGAAATGACAAATAACGATTCTGGAGGAAATAATTCATCTGATTCTTCTAATACTCATGAAAAAGTTTCATCCCAAAAACCTTCTAATGGCTTAGTGAAGAACTGGTTTAACTCTTCAATGATTGGAAGATCTATAGTCAATAATCCATTTTCACAAGCATTCAATAATCTTCGTAATATACCACAGAAAATAAGAAAATCGATCGATGATGTAATTAGCAACATTAGAAATATTTTAACCTCAGGAAAATGTAAAGAATTTAAAGCTATACCAAACCACAGTGATAGTGACCTGATAACAAATTCATCTGTTCAGAACAATATTTCATTCCAGAATCCTTTCGCGGATAAATTAGAATTTCCATCATTATTGAAGTCTCCATTTAATAATCCATTTTCGCAGGTGTTTGACAATCTTCGTAATCTATTACAACAAATTAGACAAACGATAGACGAACAAATTAATATACTCAGAAACCTATTCACGAAAAACAACTGTAAAAAACTTACATCAATGACAAATAACGATTCTAGAGTTAATAATTCATCTGATTCTTCTACTCATGAAAAACTTTCTACCCAAGAACCTTCAAATGACTTAGTGAAGAACTGGTTTGGCTCTCCAATCATTGAAAAATCTACAGTCAATAATCGATTCTCACAAGCATTCGATAATTTACGCAACATACCACAGAGAATAAAAAAGTCGATTGATGAATCGATTAGTAAAATTAGAAATATTCTGATTCCAGAAAGATCTAAAGGATTAGAAAATAAAATAAACCACACACTTAGTAATCCGGTTACTGATTCATCGGATGCAGTTGTACACAAAACGACCCCATCCTCAAAACCTGGAGATGTATTAACAGTCACGACTGATAGCCCTGTAGGAAAAATTTTATCTCTAGGTCCCTTGAGTGGATTGTTCAATAAACTAATTAACTCTTCAACGACTTCGAAAGATCCGATAACTTCATCTACGAACCCATTTTTACAAGCCTTCGATCATTTACGGAATTTGCCAGAAAAAATGCAAAAGTCAATTGGTGAACAAATTTCTCATTTGCGAAACATATTAACGAAAAATAATCATCAAGAATCAAAGACTATAGCCAACGACGATACTACTCATCCTAATGCTGACAATAATCCGATCAATTTTTTCAATATGCTTTTTAAAGATATGAGGAAAACTTCAACGCCCGTGAAAGTCTTATCTCATAATTCACAGCTATTTGGAAAAAATATTGATGAAATTTCTACTAATATTAGAAACTTTTTTGTGCCTCAAGAACCTCAAGAACCAAAGACAGAAACAGATATTTTCGATCCTTCTCATATTTATAAAATACTTTCATCGTCACCATTTGTGTTAAATGAATTATTTACAAATATATTTAAATCTTTATCTGATACCAAATCATCCCGTCGTCATCATCATTTTTCTGCGGCACGTGATATATTCCATAATTTAGGAAAAGATGCGAGAAAATCAATTAGTGCACTATTTGGCGGTGTTCAGCACATGCTTATATCACATATACGAAAAAGACACCAAAAGCAACCAACGGCTTCAAAAATTTTAATTCAACAGCCATATTATGAATTATTTAAAAAACAATTGTATCATAAACCATTATCATTGCCAACTCGTAAAATTTTACCATTTTCCTCATCGTTTCATGAAAACAAATTATTTTCTAGATCACGAAGTGACTCCTCTAAATATAATTTTCTAAAAAAATTTTTGTAAACTATTTTTAGTCACTAATGATTTAAGATCTAGATAAAATATCAAAAAAATTTACACACATCTCTTTTGGATTTTTTTATAAACAAAATAAAAATGAATACCATAAAGAAAAATTCAAATGTGTTAGCAATGTAAATAACTTTGAACTATATTTTATCTGTAAGAACAGTGTTTTAGTTATTTATTTATTGAAAAATTTAACTGTACAATCTAAACTCTAATTTACAAGTAAGAAATTTTATTAACAAAAAGGTGGTTTATTCATTTTACCTAAACTTGCAAGCTATAAAATATAAAATATAAAATCATTATACTGATTAATGTTAAAGTTTGGTTATCTTTAAAATTGCATCGAATACCTGAAAAAGGTCCATAAGAATTTCTTAATTTTATAAATATTAAAATTTTTGAAGTGTGATCGTTTATTAATATTAAATATATTAATGAAAAATTGGTAATATTCATCAATTGATAAAAGTTTGTGTTCAGTTGTCTTATCATTATGATTCATTTCATAATTTTTCAGTTACTAGATATTACGTTTTAAATGCTGTCTTAGATTTTTGTCATGGTTGTTTTTGACGTTGATGTAATGACCCGTAAAAGTTCATATGACTCATAAATAATAATTAAATATATTATAACTCGTGGAAATTTTTGAAGTGGATAAAAAAATCGGTAGTAAAACCCAATACAAAAAAAAAAGATTAACTGAAAATAAAAAAAAAAAAAAACAACATTCAGGAAGCCATGAAATCTCAGATGAAGTGAAAATTTTCTCATAAGCCAAATACTTTTTAAGACTTGACTCAAAGGGGGTTGAAATCGAACAACTCGTTAAAAAAATTTATAACAAATTGTTTTTTTTATTTTTTTTTTTTTTTTTCAAATTTATTTATATATTTAAGATTTTCATTTTTGAGCTCAAAGATCTTTTGTTTATATTAAAATTATAAATAGGATTAAAATTTTTAACTTTTGAATTTGTATAAAAAGAAAATTGAGCTTGCTGCTAGATTTTGTAGGTATTTTTTAATTATAAAATATAAATAAATGAATGATAAAATTTACATACTTACTAGTAAGTACATGTATGTTGGAGAGTAAAAGAGCAAGAATTTTTAGAAATAGCCTATGCGCTTAATTTTTTTTTAGATCGTTAGTTAATCAGAATAAAATAAATCAACAATATTTATCATAATTAAATTTATAAAAAAGAAAATCAAAATTTTTTGTAACATGAGTTATGATTACACACAGCTTCTTTCAACAATTTTTGCGGAATGTGCTTTCCAAGAAACCTTTTATTACAAGCTTTAATTACCTTGACCTATACGTATGTATGTGTTTGTATGTATCTATGTAATGGAATCTTTCAGCGTGATTTTTATCGATTCTAAGACGTCTAATTAATTTGAAAATTTATACTCGTATTATGAATCTATGATAAAACAATAACTTTATTCTAATCGGATCAGAATAAAAAAAATAAGTAATTTAACAGACTAAGCATACACAATTCATAAAATAACAGGGAATACTGTTGTCTGTTCAATTAAGTAAAATATTATAATTCAACGCTTTTGGTTTTTAACTATATTAAAAAATTTGAAAATAAATAATATTTAAAAAAACTAAAAATTTTGACTGATTTGTGGTAAATTTAAAATATAGAATAAAATGATTAACAAAAAAAATATTTATTTTATTCTAAAGCAAACGTGGAGTGTTTTTCAAGATATTTTTGCAGTATAAATACATTTTACAAATATCTGATAAGATTAACAAATATCAAGCATTCTACGCTTCTTTTACAATAAAATGAATTTTTTTTGTTAATCACTCAATTCCTTTTATTTTGAACTTATTGCAATATTCATAATAATTTTTTACTTTTTGGTTTTTGCTATGGAAACGTGTTTTTTAGTTTTTTAAACTGTTATTCATTGTGTAGAAATAAATAAATTACAATACATATGGGGCATTCCACGCCAAATCGACCACTTTTGACCCCGCAAAAGAAGAATTGGAGAAAATCAAGTTTCTACGTCTTCTGCAAGGACACGATCTAGATAGAGGGATGAACTATTTAGAAATAAAGGACCTGGGTAAAAATACCAGGGCATGAAACGATACATGAAATAGCTATGAAGGTGATGTAATCAGAAATTATTATTAAATCTTACTATTATAAATTTTAATACGGGATCATAGAAGCTAAGATATCAAAAAATATGGTATTACACATATATTTTTTCCTTTTGTTTGACTGGAAGGTAATCACTTAACCAAAACTATGATAATAAAGCATGCTAATTAGAAATACTACTCTTCGTATCTGTTATCTTTCATTTCTTACTCTAAAAATCCGGCCGGTAATTCTTTCACATAAAAATAACAATAACTCTTTGAGCTTATACTAAAATAAGACTACGCTAACTAACGCAATCGGTAATGTGATTCCTTCCAGAACAGGAAATCGATTTAAAGATGTACACACATACGTATACATATATATGTGTGAAAATTTTTCTCCCATAGGAGAGGTAAAAACAACGACTGAGTACAGAGGGGAATAAAAGGAGAGATTTTGCAATAAAATCGGGATTTAGTACTTAGAATAAAATTTTTTTTCTTTTGTAGCTATTAATAAGGGTCAGCAATGAGATCTGTCTTTAAAATAGTAATATATTGAAAATTACTGATTTAGCAGCGAGAATCCCTACTGACCCACATTTTAAAAGATTGAAATTCTGTAAATGATAAATTTGTAAGAATATGGGGGGTTAGCAAATAAGACCTGACTTTAGGAAATTAGACTTTTGAAAATAGATTTGAGCCTTCACAAGGATGAATAATTTTAAAAGCAATTCTGAGAAGCTAATCTGGTTAACTTTTAGTTCTATATTTTTTGTTGTTTTTGAATTTCTTTTGTTTTAAAAAAAATTGATTTTCTCGATGATTAACATATTAAACTGATGGTTCTATACTTTTTACTTTTTTTTTGAGGATTCCCGTAAATTTTTGGACCGGTGTTATGAAAAATACGACAAAAGAAAAAAATTTTTTTTTTTTAATTGAAAAGAACAAATAGAAATCGGAAAAACACCTTTCTGGAAATTTCATGATATTTGTAAAAAACGTCATAGTTTAGAATGAGAAAAAGAAAAAAGAAGCTAAAAATGGTATTCATCAAAAAATTCGGATTTTTTCCTATAAATTTTAAAAATAACGATGAAGATAGCTTTGAATAATTTTTTTATATTTTTTTCCAAAAAGAGCATTTAATAACAAAAATTTTGAAAAAAAAAACGTCCCGATAAGCCAATTTTTGAAAAAGTTATGGCAATTTAAAAATAAAAAAGCGGTTTTTTTGAAAAATTCGGAACTTTTTTTTGGTTGGGTAAAAAAATTTGAAAAAATTATGAGAGACGTTTTTGATAGGGTAGAAAAGGATGGTAAACTTTCAGCCAAATCAAAAGGGGTCAGGGTCAAAAGTGGTCGATTTGGCGTGGAATGCCCCATATATTTTAGTAGCATAAATAGTTAATAAACAAAAACTACAAAATTATCAATCATTTCGAATTATTAGTCTCTATTTGACATTTCGCAACTGTAATTTTTTCTGCTATTATATAATGTCCTTGAAATATTCAATAGAACATTTAATCGACGCTGCCATCCAAATCGTATAGTAAAGTGTTCTTAAAAAATAAAGATATGAAGTGACCTCTCAACTCTTTGTATTCCTTATCGCAATTAACTTGTCAGAGAGAGTTGAGAAACTATATAACGATTTAATTAGTACAGTAAACGTTCATCAGTTGCAGTGATATTACTTACTCGAAATTTTGACTTCCTGAACGAACATCAATAATGGCACGCTGGTGTATATTTTTACTTATTGCTAGTATTTTCATCATATCTCTTACTCAGGTAAGTAAAATTTCTTATAGAACAAATTTTTAATATTTCATAAAAAAAACTTTTGCATTATAAAACAATTATTTTAGTCTGTACCAATACAAGAAGAGGCTGGTAGTGTGAACAAAATTGAAGATTCAATTAAGAAGGCTTTAGAAACAATTAGCAAAGGTTTTGAAGACATGATAAAAAATCCTAAAGTCAATGAGTTGATCAAAGATGGTCAAAAAATGATGGAGGAGGCTGCTGAAAAAATCAAAACTGAAACTGCCAAACTTCTTCCTAAAACAGATGGAGCTGCTCGCTAAAAATAGTGAAAATAGTTTAAATAGAAAGAATAGTTTTTAAAAAATGTTATTCGATTGTTTTCAGATGTGATCAGTAGTAATAGTTTTAATAAATATTGTTGCCATCATTAATGGATTTTTTTTTATTTCAAATATAAAAAAATGTCTACTTATAAGCTATAATATAATATAATAATTTAACATCTAATAAAATTCTATTCTGTAGCCAAAATTAATACATTTATTATATTATTTTAATTATAAAATCCATTTAATAATTTGAATCTCAGAGTCATTATAAGGTTTTCAGATTATACACTTTCAATTATTTTAATAACAAAAGTAATATTGAGAAAAATTTTTTGGAAGATATTTTTCTTAAACGAGCACGACTTGAAAATTCCAGAAATTAATGTTAGTTTTTTATACATAGATTTTTTATCCTTTTTCAAAACCAATATAAATACATGCATTTCCAAGTAATAAAAATGATACACTGATGTGAGTCATAAATTATGTCACTCAGCCACACATCATTGATAACAGTAGAAATAATAAATACAACGTATTCAAACATGAAATATGAAATCTACACAAAGAAATATATATATATATATATATATATTAGATTATTTGACCTCCGGAACTTAATTTTTTTTATTTAAATAAACAAAAATTAAGATTGAGTGTAGATTATATCAAAATTTTTATTTTAAAGCTTCAAAGAAAATTTAAAAGAACATACTTTTCTTATTAATATTTAAGCATTGATAAAAATGTGTATTTAAAAAAACGAAAAATAATAATAAAACATCTAAATAAAAATCAATTAATAATTAAACAATCTATGTAAATAATAACATTTCAGTAAATTAATATTAATGTAACAAAATTCAATGTTTTTATCTTGACCGATTCGACCTCAGTAGCGATTTCAACATATAATAATTATGTATCTTTATCGGTTGTGTGTAATGATTATGATGGGATTAACTTCTATTCCGAGAAGTTTTTTTTTTTTTTTTTTTAATTAAGTTGTGCATTTTATTACATGGGTGTTATTCGTGCTACAGTTTTTACTATTTTACTATTGATTTTATTAGCATACTATTTATAAATAAAAGCAGAAAAACAATCGATTTAATCATATTTACACGAAGAAAAAGAAAAAATATTGTCTTGTCAAGGATTCTTGACTTAAAAATTTAATGAAATTAATCATTTAATTTATAAATATCTGCCTCCTTCATAAAAGGCAAACTAATGAATATTTTCATTTGAAGCGGATAAAAATTATTTTAATCAATTCAGACGAGAAAATATATTATCGAAAGCTATCAAGAATATATATTTTTGTGGCAAATAAATTTTCTTAATAGAAGTACTTATTTTTTGTTTTTTCAGTTTACATGGCAAATGATCTAAATATTTATTATTATTATTATTATTATTATTAATAACCAAAGACGGCCTTTCGGCCCAGATTTCGAACTTGGTTCTACAATACGAAGTAATATGTACATTCGCAGACAAGTATTATCTCGTTATGACCTTCTACACCTACTCCTTCTCTTCCACTCGTCTGTTCCGCATTCTCCTTGTTCGAAAGTAACGCAAATTATTATTTTTCAGTTAGAAAAATGGAATCAAATTTTTTATTCGCCAAAAATGACAGATTCTTATCTTCAATAAGAATTAATCTGTTAAATTTTTTGAATAATTTTAACTTAATTGTAACTTGTTTTGTACATACTATTATCTTGCTGAGAGAGAAATTATATTTTTAGTCAGTGAAAATCCCAACAGAGCCGATCATATTTCTTCTCAGTATCTTTGAAAGATTTTTCATTTCCCTCTTTCAAAGAAAAAAATCTCAATATTACTACAGTATCATTTTATCGGCAACAATCCATCATCACATTAATTATTTGTTTATAAATCTATTCATTTAACGCTTAATTAAATGAAATAGTATTTAATTTTATCATAAAATAGAAAAATGTTCGACTTATTTTATCTCAAATGAATCAATCTTGATGTAAATACATTTTGTAAATGCCTAAATTTTATACGTTTATCATATTCTACATTTTTTTCATTTTAGTTTATTAATGCATATTAAATAATAAAAATAATATAAATACATCGTATTATCTCATAAATTTTATGCTAGAATAATAATATGAACACTAAAATTATATGCCGGCCAATTTAAGATTTTTATACATTAATAAAAAAATCAACTTTATTCAAGAGGAAAAAATCTTAAACCAAGAAAATCATTTTGAAAAACAACTTTGTCTTGACAAGAGAAAGAAATAATGCAAAATAGTTTTTTTTTTTCTTGAATCAAGTTAATTTTTGCATCAGTGTAGTCTGTCAAGACGGCGACAAATCGTTGATCTAACTCTTCTCTATAATTTGACTTGTTAATGTAAATTGTTAAGCTCAATTAAGTCTCCTAAAAGTTACATAAAACGTTGATCGAAAAATAGAATAATGGAATATTTGATCAATGGCCACTGCACTGACATTAATTTTTCTGGAGACTCTCCATTAACTTTTATATTTGAAATATAATATATCCAACATCCATGAAATATTGCATGTATATAAACCAACCAATGATTTTCAATGTGTTATAATGAAATTTTTCTAACTAAAATTTTTAGTTGTAAATTTATATTCATAGTTATAATTTATAATATTTAATTTATAGAGCCGATAGGCGTTAAATCAATAAGTAAATAAATTTTAATGATCACAAAAACTTTGGAAAGTTCTGCGAAAACTAAGTATAAAGTAAGAATGGATAATAACTAGAACTTTGCCCTCTTTATTACTGATAAGAAATGACTATATAAGAATCCAAATGTATAACATTGCATCAGTCTTAATTCTTGAGAAATCCGTGAAGTGTTGTAATTAATTTTTTGACAGTAAAAAAATAAATAATAAAATAAAAAAAATGAAGTCCATTTGTGGGATAATAATAGCAGCTTTAGTGACTAGTTCGTACAGCATGCCTGCTGGTGAGGTAGCAACTCAGTCTCCTCAATTATCCGATCTTATAACTCAAGCTCAAGCTAGTATCAATAATTTCGGCGAAGAGCTTCAAAAAAAACTTAATCTTCCGGATCAAGAGACTGTAGCCAAAACAATTCAATCTCAAACTACGAACTTTGTTAATAATGTTCAGGATTATGTTAAAAAAGTATCTGAAGATGTAAGTATTTGAATAATGTAAAGATTTATTAAATAAATATGAAAACAATTGTATATGAGAATATTAATTTTTTAAATACTTTGATTTTTTTTTTGGCCATACGGAAGATTAAAACCAAGAATCCTGAGCTAGAGAAAGTTTGGGACGATATCAAGGAAAAATTCAACAAAGTCGCTGATGATATTAATGCACAAATTCCAAATGCTCAAGACCAAGCAAAGCAACTCCAGGAGAAATTAACTGAAGGGTTCAAGACTCTCGTTGATGAATCAGGCAAAGCTTCGAAAGCAATTAGCAAAGATTCTGAAAAAATTCAAGAAGATGTAGCAAAAATCACTAAGCAAGCCGTCGAACTTGTTCTTGAAACAACTAAAAACTTTGAAACCAAGTTACGGGAATTGGCTGTAACTGAAGCTCCAAAATAAGAGTAACATCTATTAAAATTAATAATTATGCAAACATGATATATTAATGACTGTAACTTTTATTTTCAATTTTTTAAATTGTATTTAAGTCAGGAACTTATTAAAATGTCGACTATTCAGTTAAAAAAAAATTTATAATATTCGGCTCAATATTTAATTTGCTTTTTACATAATAAATACATTTAAGTCCAGTCTAATTACGTCAGTGTAATTTTCAAAGCCCTATCTGCCGTAATATTATTTATTAAGTTATCCATATAGATACCACAAGTGTGCAGAATCTTACGTGGACAGGTAAGGTTCTTATACAATAGAATGTGTCCATTTTTCCAAGAGCAGCATTCGCGATATTATATCCCAGTTTTACTCAAGTATCGACACAATTACCTATACTTTAGTTTGAAGAATTACCCCCAGTAGGGCCTCAGCCCTCTAAAGCTAGGTTTTATGTCAACTGGATTCTTTAACACTCGCAAAGCTAGCATGATACATTAAGCAGAATCGCTCTTATTTTGGCTAATAATTGACTCATTTTTCAAAGCGTCAAGTTTTATTTTTCGAGCCTAAATATTACCACTAAATTATTAGCCAAAAAATAAGCCATTCTGCTTATTTGGCCATGTTAGCGACAATAATCTCGCCATACTAACTTTACAGATCGGCTGCCCAATTTTAAAACACAGTAACTGCAAAATTTTTATACTTGATTTTTTTTTAGTATTGCAGCATTTTTTTATAATTTTTAAACCTTAATTTCAAGTATTTTTTCTTAAAAATATTTATATTTGAGTATTCTCTATTCATAAATCAAATTTGTCATTAATTTGGCGGGCAAACTTTTTTTTAATAAGAAAAATTGAAAAAAATTTTTAAATGTTAGTTACTGTGTTTTGAAATTGGGCAGCCGAGATATGATTCGATTCTTTATATCATTTACAGGTCGTGAGGTTTGATTGTAGATGTCCCTTTTTCTCTGTTGAGAAATCTACACATCTCTTCTCTAATATTTTTAGGTCACTCCGATCCACCATCGGGGGATACATCCGATCAGCACTCAACTTTAGATCCCGCAATTGGTTAAAGAATTAGGAAAAACTGGGAAATAATCAAATCTCATATTATTTTTCAGTTTTTGAATCCATCTATAGAACATAGTTGAATAAAATAGTCTTCAATTTTTTTATAGGATAGAATCTCAATCTTTTAATATTATAAGTTTTAACCGAATAATTAATAATTAAGTATAAATGCATTACTAAAAAAATTATAAAGTGAAATAATAATTAGAACAATAGTATTGTTTCACAAAATACAATTTTCTAAATTTTTTTAAAAGTTATCATTTTTGAGATACTTATACGAGATTAAGTTAAAAAACCGGCGAATATTTTAAACTAGATAATCTCTAAGCCATGAGTTTTGATATAAATACATTCTTTAAGTGCAAAAAATTTTCTATCTACATGATATTTCCATTCTGCTGTAACTAATGTCTCAATAATAAAAGTAAAAATAATGAAGCCCATCTGTGGAATATTAATTGCAGCTTTATGGTAGCTGATTCTTACAGAATGTCTGTGAGACAATTATCAAAACTGTTTTTTCAACCTGAAGCTAGTGTCGATAATTTCGGAAAAGAATTTCAAAAAGAACTTAATCGTCTTGATAAAAACACTGCTTCCAACACAATTTAATCTGAAACTACAAACTTTGTTAATAATGTCCAGGATTATGTTAATAAAGTACCTCAAGATGTAAGTATTTGAATAAAATATGAACTGATTAAATAAATATCGAAAAATTTTTTTATTAAAATATTAATTTCTTAAATAATTTGTTTTTATTTTCACTGTTAATAGAAACTGTTGACTGTTTAGAGATAAAAAACAAGAATTATGAGCTAGAAGAAATTTGGGACGATATCAAGTGAAAATTCACCAGTCGCTGATAACATTAATGCACATAAATTCTAAACGCCCAAGACCATGAAAATCAACTCAAAGAAAAGTTAACTCAATGGTTCCATACTCTCATCGAAAAATCAGAGAAAGCTTTGAAAGCAGTTAGCAATCATTCTGCAAAAATTCAAGAAGTATGAAAAGAATCAGTAAAGAAGCCATGGAACTAGTTCTTGAAACAACTAAAAATTTTGAAATCAAGTTAAGACGTAAATTGACAGGAACTGAAGCCCCAAAATAAAGGTAACATTTATTTACAATTAATACATTTTATATTAATTTATATTTTCTGCAATAGTATATATTAATTTTTGTTTATGTTCAGTCGTATCTGTTTTTTTTTGTACTCACGTCATCTTTTTGAAATTTTAATAATTTAGTAATATAGGAAAAGAATAAATTTGTAACATTCGTTTCATATCTAAATTATTTTTTACAAAATAAATGCATTCCACTCATTACAATGAGGTCAATGTAATTTAATTATTTAACCTAATTTTAGATTATCAAATAACTACATTTCAGTATAAATTATCGTGAGGTCAGTGTAATTCAAATCTTTTTGTTAATTCTTTCGTTTTTTTGTCAGCATATTTTTCAGTAAAATGTAAGACTTCAGCAGTTGATAGGTGTAAGTATTTTATTATCATTCTGTGAAAATATACTTAAAACATATTACATGTTCTTGGGTGTTAGAATTTTTACCCTAAAATAAAATAAATAAAAATAATTTTTCATTGAAAACGTACTAAGTTATTGTAATAACCATAATTTAATATTGCATTTTTTAACTTATTTTGTCTTGGATATAATCTTCATTTACATTTATAGAAATGGAAATTACTTCCTGGAAAACAAGCGTGATTCTGTCATCAGTAATGTTTATGGTAAGTTTTTTTATAAACGGAAACTGATAATATTATTTATCTTACTGATTAAACTTTAAATTATTATCTTTTTCAACATAGTTTGTTTATTGTTTTTGTGAATGCACGAGTATTTGATTATTTAAAATTCTTTTATTTAAGGTTGATAAATGACATTTAAATTTAGACATTTTGATTCCGATAAAATATATGGATAAAAAAGATTACGTTATAATTATCTGTTTGTTTTCACAGATTTTATTCACTGCAACAGCGGAAAAATTTACTAAAGATCACAAACAAACTTTAGATAAAGTGGTTAAAATTTTATCTGCTAATAAACCACATTTTCAAAGTTACGAGAATTTCGAAGAAAGAACAGAAAGAATTAACAAGGAATTGGATCAGGCAATGAATATTATTAATGTCGTTAAAGAGATTGATCGTTTTGTAACAAATAAGATCAAAATGATCGTAAAACAGCTCAATGCGATCTATGACATTCACTATTCTGATCGTTCGCAATCATCTTTCAACGTTTATGAGCAATGATCACTCTTAGAGCAAAAGTGGCTGATTAAGCTATAAAAATATTTATTCTTAAATGATTTTTAATTTATAAGTTTATTTACAAATTGAAAAAAAAAAAAAATTAATAGTATTAATCGCATATGCTTCGAATATTTATCATGATTTCAAAATGTACAATTATGCATAATTAACAACTATTGTTTTAAGTTGAATAAAAATAATTTATTTTATTAATATTAAATGAATGAATTTATATTTTTTTTTTTTTTCAAGTCCGATTATTTTTTTTATTCGGCTCAAATAATAATAATAATAATTTTTTAATTATACATTTATTTTACGCATGTGCAAAAGTACTATTGAAAAGTGACTTTTCGAGATGTGATGAGCCGATATATCCGATGTATACTACAATTTGATATTATAATTATTATTTCATTATGTATTAATAAAATTTAGGTTCAGAAATAATTTGAAATTAATATTTTTATTATTTTCAAGCCTAAATTATTGTACTTAGCGCTAAGGGCCAGTTTTTCAAAATGTGTTTGTTGCTAAAACAGAATTTTTTCCTATATCAACATAAAAGAAACAAAAAAAAAATAAATATAGTTTTAATAAAATTTTATTTTTTTAAAAATATCGTTTGAAAAACAGGCTCTAAATATAAATCATAAAAATCTACTTAATAGATAAGTAGTGCTGAATGAATAGAAAATTTTAATACTATAGAGATTGTACACAGTGTGTAAATCCATGTTTAAGGCGATTCACATGGAAGGAACTCGTTTGGTAAAGCCGATAATTTGTCAGAATAAATATTTTATGAAAAAATTATATTCAACTTATTCAACTAAAAACAGAACTTTGTTAATACATAATAAATTGATAATATAATTTATATTGGAATTTATAATTAAATCTTTCTTTTAAAAAGTGTATAGAATAATAAATTATGATTTTCATTTCCGTTTTATTTGTAGATCAAGTAGTGTAAAATTCAAATAAAAGTTTAAATTTTATTATTGCTTTTGTAATGATTGTTAAATTGTTTACTTTATTAAAAATGCAACTTAAAAAAAATGATATGGTTGAAGATACAGTTGTTATAAACAACAAAATTTTAAAGATTAGTGTTCATAATTGAGGAGCTGATTTTCAAAAGGGTATCTTTTCATATTTTAAAATACCAGTTTTCTGAATTTTTAAATACTAATTACTTTGAGAATTATGAACATTTATAAATGAAAATCGAATTGCAGCTTCATAACCGATTGCACTTTATAGCTAACTTAAAAAAAGTTCAATACAAATATTTATAATTGAAGATAACTAGTTTTTTGTCTCGATTAATCAAAAATCAAAAGATACCCTTTTGAAAATAAGCTCCTAAATTTTGTTTTAAAAAAAAAATACTTGTTATCAAGATATAAACAATGATTGCTTAGGATTGAGGCTCTGCCAATTTTTTAAAAATCTAAAAATCAACATACTAAAATTTTTTTTAAAAGCTTATGAAAAGTAAAGAATTAAAAAAAATTTTAAAGAATTTCAATTATTTGATCTAAAAGAAAAAAAAATTGATTTTTCTAAATCAATTTTCTCTTTTTTCTAATTATTCTATTCATCAAAAATTAAAAAAAGAAAAAAACAAATGTTTTAAAATGTGTTTTTAAAACTTAAAAAAATAATAAATATTTTAATACAATATAAATAAATTTCAAGAGCAATTATAAATAAGAATGAAAAGACTACAGTAAAAAGAAACGCGCGATGCAAACATTTGTGAAGTCGACACGGGATTGGTTATAAAGCAATAAAGAAAGTATCTGATTGGATAGTGAAAGCTCGCCTAAGAGCTTTACGGAGATCAAGACGAGATGACAATCTATCTATATATACTAAAGATTATTCTCTCGTTCACCACATGTTGATTAATAGTATAAAATTCGATAAGCGTGAGTGGAATCGGAAGTCGTGGGTGTTATCGCATGAATACGAAGACGCGTGGTTTACGCGATAAACAAACGTAAAAACGTGACTGTTCCCGTTCCTTTTCAAAAATAATCGCGACGATTCCAGACAGCTAACAAGAACGAGGGGCAGAAGAGCGCTGAGTTACGTCACACACGACATAGAATTACAATTTTCGTGGTGGCCCAAGTTGGTCTTCTCTCTCTTCTATTGTCAGTAATCTTTGCCACGAGGTGTGGCTAGTTGATTTATTTTATTTTCGTAAACAAAAATTCATCTCGTTATACACAGTAATAAGTGTTTACTAGTACATACCTTGCCTCGAGTAATCTAGGCGCGTCATCAGCATAACCTCAAATTTCAATCGTTCATGTTACAAAATTATACCAACTCAATTGACCTTTGCCATCATTCATAAATCATTTGAGTTGGCATTTTCTCGTGAAAATTATTCAACCGAGCAGTTCAAATTTTCGTTTAAAACTAAAAATTAATTTATTTTGTTAAATATTATAAGGAAGTTTTTCAAAATTCCGGTCCACAGTAAGAAACGAGAAAGCGCCCAGTTAACAGGCGACAAATATCTGCAATTCAGTGACTAGGATTTCTCTTTAATCAGTACCATGAATAACAAAAGAAAAAATCGTTCTAATCCAACTAGGTAATAGATATATATAAATTTGAATTATTTTATTTTATTACTTTTGAGTTTATCAAAATGTCAGCTACTAAATTAACTGTGAATCACTTAATGGAATTTTTATTTTTTTTTATTATTAATCTATCAATGATATTTTTATTTAGTCATGTTCTACTTTTATAAGCACATTTTATGTCTAAATAATAATTGAAGTAACAAATTATTTGTATTCATAGGTCTCCTCGAGCTCGAGGTCCTCAAGAGAGAAGTGTTGTTGCCGAAGGGGTTTACAACAATGCTCATTTTATGCATGCGATAACAAGCCATGTTGGCAATATAGTTCAGGTAACAAATAAATAAATAAATTAATTAATTAATTAAATCCTCTATATTGATTGATTATAAATAATTGTATTTGTAGTTGTTATTTATTTATATATAAGTAAACATGTTTATACATACTTATACTTTTTTTTTTTTTTTTTTTTTACAGATCCAAACTCAAAATGGTTCATTATACGAAGGTATATTTAGAACTTTTTCTAGCCAATTTGAAGTAGTTCTGGAAATGGCTCATCGTGTAGAGAGCTCGGGCGAAATTTGCGTAGATACTGTGGTTGAAAAACTTATATTCAAACCTCAAGATATTATTACAATGTCCGCAAAAGATGTAGACTTAGATTACGCAATAAGAAATACATTTCAAACTGACACATCAATTAGTAAGTTTAATGGCTTAGTAGGAGAAAAAGAACTTGAACCATGGGATGCACCAGCAACAATAAATGGCGACGATTATGAATTGGACGGAGCTTCTGTATGAATTTATTCATTAATATTACATTCAAAGCTTAAATAACTGAAACTATTATTATTATTATTGTTTTTCTTTTATTTGTTTTTTTTTCAGAATGGCTGGTCTGCTCATGAAATGTTCAGTACAAATGAACAAATATATGGTGTACAGAGTACGTTTGAACCGTCTTTGGTTGGTTATACTCTTCCATTACATCGTAAAGATACTAAGGAATTCAAGGATCAAGAGCAAAAAGCATCAGAGATAGCTAACGAAATAGAGGCTCAACCTAATCATAAAGCTCGATTAGATCTTGAAAATGGTGATGAGGAAGAACGTTTTGCTGCTGTGATTCGACCAAATAATGAACCTAAATACGTCCCTCCTGCAAAAAGAAATAGCGTTAATTCTGGTAAATTAACACGATCAACTCCACCGCCACCGTCACCTAGTACAGCAAATAATAAAAATATGTTTAACCATCCACCTCCGGGATCAACAACGAATTCTTCTCAGCCAAGTAACATTCCACTAGGAGGTCCGTCAAATCATCCTCCAGTACAACATCCGATAATGGCCATGCCACCAAGTGGTGTTGTTGTTACTTACAATACACCGCCTCCGTTTGTTCAACCACCAACAACGCAACCTCTGCCTGTGGCAGCAATCCCAGTTATACCTCAAATGCAAACTCAGCATCAACACGGAACAACTATGTCACAAGTTGCATTTGCTCCACAGCAGCTACCACCATCAAATAAATTGAATCTTGAAAAACGAGAACGCCCAGGAAGACAACAAGGTTATCAAATAGATAAAGCGCCTCCTGCACCGTTTCCACAGACTGCGACTTCTCATCAACAACAGCAGCAGCAGCAGCAGCAGCAGCAACAACAACAACAACAACAGCCTCAACAACAACAACAACAACAACAACAGCAACCACCACCACCACCACAACAACAACAACAACAGCAGCAACCACCAACTCCATCACCACAGCAACAGCAGCAACAACAGCCATCACCTCATACTCCTCATAGTTCTATTCAGCAACAAAATTCACTTGAAGGTCAGCGCAATGATCTTCTCACTAGTAAATCTGATCATAGAAAAATTCCAACTCCTAGACCAAGAGATGAACAACACGCTGAATTGAGACAATTTTCATCAGATTTCAAATTAGCTGATCCACAAACACAGGAAACTCCATCCATTCCACGTAAACAACAACAACAACAACAACAACAACAACAACAACAATCGCATCATCAAGATACACATACTCAACAATCTATGCCGCCATCACATCATCCACCCGTTCATCAACATCAAAAGCCGTTACCACAGCCTCCACAACATCAAGGGTCTCACCAACAGCAACATCAAACGGTACAAGAAGAACCAATTATTGCTTCTAAACCACCTACAGGTTCAACATCTTTACGGCCTACAACACCACCTCAAGTACAGCAACAAACCACACCGCCGATGCAGCAAAGTCACGAGCCTGCTATTGAGAAAATAACAACTTCGTTTAAAAAGTCAACATTAAATCCAAATGCGAAAGAATTCAATCCAAACGCAAAGCCATTTACACCGGTACGAAAATACATTAGTTAAAACTGTTAATTCAAATAATGAAGACTGATAATATCTTTCAGCGATCGCCAAGTACACCAACTCCAAGCAGACCACATACACCTCAAACACCACAATATTCTGGAGCTATGCCTACAACAGTAGTTATGACACCAGCCTATGTCATGACAAGTCAACCACCAACCGCCTTTTCTCAGCCTCAAGCCCAACCTGTAGCGAGGTTCAGGAAGGGTCAGTATCTAGGTACTAACGCAAGGCTCTTGATTATATTTATATTTTACAATCAATTATTATAAAAACCCCTGGTTATTGAATTATCTTTTAACTTTACTCTAGTACCAATGATGCAACATCGAGCACCAGATATTGCATCACAAATGCAAGTAGCAGCCGCAACAGGCCAACCATTGCTTGCTCCTGCCCCGTTGCATCCATCATTTCAGGTGCCTTATCCAGGACAACCAACTTATCAACAAATGGTTCGTATGGTGCAAGCGCCACCACCACCGCCACATATGGCTACGCCTTATCATCATCATCATCATCATGAGTCACCTGGGCCTCAAAATCCTAGTATTCAATATATGGGACATCATGGACATCCTCATCAACATCACGTAGGACAACAACAACAGAGTCAAACACAATCACCGGCTAATCAAAATCCTCAGCATACGCCTGGTGCTTATAATCCATCGGGTACACCACAAGCATCATATCCACAACCACCACCTCAAGGTCACACACCGAATTACCCATTAATGTGTCCACTAATTCCACCACATTTATCAATTCCACCGCAACACATGCCGTATTTACCAGCTCAACCACCACCTGGTGCTCAACAAGCTATACCAGTTATTTTACCTCATAATCAATAGCTACGACGCCGGTTGAGACGAGAGAAACGTTAGTATTTTTATTGAGGCGCAAAATAACTTATATTGAAGCATAAAAAAGGCTCTAAGTAAACATTCAATATTAATAAATAGATCTTGAATAAAAGTGAGTTTATTTGAGCTTTTTACATCTGTTGTTTTGAGTATTTAGTGTCAGTTATTGCTGCTGATAATTTGCATTGAAATTTTTTTATTACACTTCTACATAATGCTCAAGTTCGTACCTTATTATTTATTTTTTATTGGTAACTGAGATGTATGATGAATGAATAACTTCTTTTTCATAAGAGCAATGTTTCAATGCAATACTAAATGACACTGTTACGTTAATCAGCTCAAATAATGAAAAAAATAAATAAATAAATAATTAAAAAAAAATATTGCGTCTCAATTTATATTTAATTATTACACGCTATAACTATTCTCTCAACTCAGGAATACGTTTCCGTCTGTCGGTTTGATTCTCATTACATCTGCAATCTTACAAACGATTATAAGATCGAAAAATAAAAAATGTAACCTACGTGACACTTCGGGGTTTTTGCGTAGATTTTATTTAAATTTGCGTCCCCGATTCATTCATTATAAATCAATTCAACTAAATTATAGTTTAGTCAAACGATTGTTGTTGAAATGAACAAATTATTTGACTTAATCTTTAATTTTTTTTTTAAATATTCTTGCTTTGCTGATTAGGTATCAAATTTAATTATTTTTCATCCTTGATAATTTAGCTAAAAAAAAAAAAAATTAAACTAAACAAAAGCAAAGAAAAACTTTAAGTGCTGGATCACAAATAAAACTTTTCTAGATGAAGTAGCTCCTCGGCTCGATATGCGCCCACTAATTTAGTTATAAAATTAATGAAAAACTATGCGCTCGTAAAATTAAAATTAAAAAATTTTATTATGTTCATATGTAGTTCGGTTCTCATTGCGTTATAAAAATCAAATAAAAAGATGTAGAAAAATAAAATTACTCGTCTTAAAAAATATTTCATTGGTATAAATACTCGCGTAGTTATATGAAAATAAGAATATCATTCCCAAACTTCATAAGAATACTACCATTATAGTTGTCGATTGCAAGTACAATAGTTGAATAAAAATAAATTAATTAATTATACTCGAAAATTGATTAAACAATTGTTAGATTAAATACGGAATATGTAGCTTCGTTCTTATGTTATATTTGTAATTAACATGAGAATATGAGAAAAAAATAGGTCATATTTTAAATTCAACAAGCGTATTAATAATTTATTAATGTTATATTACGGAGAGTAATTTATTATCATCATCATTTGATTAATTTTTATAACAAAGTGCTTTTTTGGAAGCATAAAAAAATTGTGGGCAATTGAGAAAAATATACGTAAGAAATTTTCTCAATTTCGTCAACATACGTGAAATGAAAGAGAAAAGTTATTATTCAATCGTGAGAAGAAAATAAATTAACTCGTATACAAATGTTGAATATTTTATTTAATAATTAAATATCAACAATATTAATATTTTAAACTACAGTTTTTTTATGATTACTGTATTTAAAATATTTATAAAACAGCTAAACTTATAAATTAAAATTTATATAATTACCATATTTATAATATATATTAATTAAATTTTTATAAAACGCTTGTAAACGAGTTAAATATGTAAATGTATAAATAGAACCTAACATCGGAAAAGTCTAAAATTAATATGATGCGATATAAATAAATAATGTTATTAAATTAATTAAGAATTACAAATCAATTAAAAAATTAATAATAATTCGAAAGTTGAAAAAATTAATGGTGTAAACATATTTTGAATCAACAAAATTATAAAAAAAAATGAACGAGACTAATACATAATAACGACGATATTAAAGATAATAATATGAATGTATGGAAAATGAATTTTCCTCTTGATAAAATAAGCTTGCTAAGTGGCATCGTTAAACACAAATTTTATATCAAAGAGATTTAAGAAAAAAAAAACATCAAAATAAAATGAATAATTAAAAACATATACAGGTATTTAATATTTATAATCTTTTTTGACTTTCCAATCCTTATAAAATGAATTGATATTCAATATTTTAGTCAATTTTTAATGATATTTTTTTAATTAAATAAAAATTTAGTTTTTAATTAAATGATAAACAATGCTGTTAAACTTCAAGTCAATTTCTCCAAGATTCTCAGTACCTCCAACTTGTTTGATACAGTACCGAGTTCATTTACCTCCTAAAGAAGACAAACTACATGGTCTTCGAAAACATTATAATATCACTTTATAATTAAAAAATAACTTAAGGTATCTATTTAATTTAGTACTATAATTTCCATTCAATTTTTATTTTATTCAGCTTGTATACTTCATTTAAAATTTTCGTGTGTTTATAGGACATCAACTTAACAAAAAACACATAAATAAGAAAGTGAGGGCCTGGTTAAACAACGAAGTAAGTTTTCAGGAAAGTCCGATTTCATCCGCTCTAAACGCAATAAATACAAGATCCTAGAGGAAATAGTTCTTTGAGGTCTAATTACATATAACTTTCCATTGAACGTGAGCACATCTCGGAACTTTCAGCCTACCTCTCTGTTTGCTTGCAAACTGCATATAGACTGAAAGAAATCATAAAATTTTCGGTTTTATTAATAAAACATTCTAACTTTTTCAGTTTATTTGCCATCAATTTGTACCTGACACTGACTCTAAATTGCATTAGCAGATTGGCATCAATCTAACAGCAATATTTGAAAAGCCTGGATTTGTAGTGAATTTGAGAGCAACTTTTGCACTGTTACTTTGGTTGATGAGGAAAACAAATCAAAAAGTAGAATAGCCTAAAAGGTATTTTGATCTTTTAACAATGTTTGAGTTCCATGAGAAAGTTACAGCTCGGTAATAGTGCTTTTGTTTCATACATAAAGTCGTAGACTAAATATGAATTTAGTGAAATTTTAAAAGAAAAAAATTATATCTCGTTCTGACAGCTAAGGCTTTTGGTCTTTTACAAATACCATATAACAGAACTGAAAAATTGGAATTCATAGTCTTTTGAAGTCTGTTAATACTAATTTTATCAAATATAAAAATAAAAAAAAAAAAAGTCATAAAATCTTAATATTTATCCCGAAACTGGGAAATGGCCTAGCAATGAATAACGGCGTATGAAAAATACAGTGCCTTGGTCTGAAACAAAAAAAATTGAGATACAAAATAAATAAAATAAAAAGAAAGAAAAAAGCTCTAATAAAAAACATGAATCCGGTGAAAAACGGAAAGTATCTATGCAAGAGATTTTAGATAAATTATTTAAAAATGCTCAAGAAAATTAATTGATAAACAAATTGGAGAAAAAAAAGTAAAGTTTGATATTGTTTCAATTGAATACTATAGACAATTGATAAAAATATATTTAAAAGTTTAATTTATTTTAAAACCAGCTTATTAAAAATATTTTAATTCCAGATCTCACAAGAAGCTTGCGATGAAGTTGTGGGTACATAAGATGTACATTCCTCTTATAATAATATAAATTATGTCAATTAACAATTTGGAATTAGTCATAAAATTTTATGACAAAAAATAAATAAGAAAAATGGACATCTTTATTCATACGGAAAAAAAAATCCTGATAAATCCACGCCGCGTGAATGTAAAGGCCCTTTATATTAAACATATTTTAAATTATGGACGTAACAAAAATATATATTGAAATATGTTCTGTAAAAAAAAAAATAAAAATAAATTTTTATTTTTGCGTATTATAATTAGGCATAAAAAAAATTAATTAAAAAAATTTTCAATTGATTATTTTATGTTTATCATGTAGATAAGTATATACTTAGAATACAAGTAATTGTGATTTTTATTAATTTCACAAGTTTTTACTCGCTTTAAAATCTATCATTTAAGTCCTTATATGTGTCCAGTAATATATATTTACTATTATATTTTTTAAATTAGTTGACCTTATTCTAAGGCAAGGGACCCCTTCTCCTTCTTTCATATGCAGCAAAGTTTTTGTAATCAATTGAATGACCTTGTCATATCTCAAGTATTTATATTAAAATTTAATTAAACAATAAATATCATAAGATATCAAAACGTTAAGATTTATCATAATGATAAAAACGGAAAAAACTTAGCTCAACTAATGTTTAGAATTGATAATGAAATCTGGCGTATCTTTATCGGCTTATAAAATTTTGGTAGTTTGAATATTCGTACGAAAAATATATTAAATTCTCTTATAAAATTCATCTACAACTGTAACAAAAATTTCAATCTGATGGTAAAATGTTAATATAAAAAAAGTGGGAGAAAGGGGGAAAGGAAGGGGCAGGGGGGAGGGGGGAGGGGGCCTTTTAAAAATGCCAAAAGCTCTTTTAATAAATTATAATTTGATATTAGAAGTTAATATGAATATACAAATAAATTAAAAATTTAATTTTTTACTATGTACTATTAAGAAATTTACTTTTATTTGTTTACTTTTACGCAAATATGTTTTTATATACGTACATACTTAATTTACAAAAGTACGTCAGTGTAAAAGTCAGCTGTGACTCAATGTCCTCTAAAAAAGAGTGGGGCGTTATGAGTCAGACTGGGGCTTTACAGTGTACAGCATGTACGTGAAGAAACGATGAGTCTTTCAGTCAGCGAAAAAGTTTAATATGAAGCGTCTAATCAAACTATTATAATTCCAATAAATGCTAAAACAATATACCAATATTAATTAATAGTTAGTTATATTTTATACTGAATTATTTATAAAAAATGGAATCAAATATCCAAGTCGAAGATGATAATCGCCCAAAGTGGCTTTTAGAGCTCGAAAATCGTAAGCGAAAGGTTCGTTATTTTTTATTTATTTTTTACTTAATGGTTATTTAGTAAAACGAACGGTACATTTCAAATTATTTTATTGAAAAAATCATTTTTAATCCAATGTATAAATAGAAATATTTAAAATTTTATTTTATTATATACTTATTGTTTATTATCGATAATAGATTATGTTTATCTTAAACTTCAACAACAAAAGTCATGACTTGATGACTGATCGCAAATTAAAAATTTTAGGTAAATAAATATAAATGTATTTTTTCAGCCGCGACTAGCTCATGAAGTTGGTGCCGGAGCTCCGTGCATAAAGTGCGTATCTAATTGTCCAGGTCTTGATTTACATTTTTGGAGAAAAATATGTAAAAATTGTAAATGTGGTCACGATGATCATGATGTTCCTGTTGATGAATTTCCACAATTTAATTTATTATTTGGTCCTTCAGGAAATTCTAAATGCAAACTAATTGGTAAGTAAATGTTTTCATTTTAACACATAAAATATGTAGGATGAAGCAGATTATTTGAAAAATAAACTAATAACTGTCATAATCATTTAATTTATTTTTTCAGTTCTTAAAATTAATAAACAGCAGATAGACAATGAAGAAACATTTGAATGGGCACCACCTAATACGACAAAAGAACTTGCTGCTGATTACATGAAAGCATTGCCACAAGATAAATTACCTATTAAAGGGTCCGTGGGTGCTGCTTTGAGAAAACAACAACTTCAAAAGCAACTTCCGTTGCATGACATTGATCATAAACTTTGTGATGAATTATCAGATTCTGAGAAAAATCAATTTGAAAAGTATCTCGAGAATTTGAAAAAATATGTTGGCCAAGGAAAGGTTTCCAAAATAATAACCGCAAAACCTTTTGAAAAATCTTTAATAACACCAGCAAATGCTTCAGAGTGCTTTACTCCAAAACATAAACCAAGTTTAATAAATAGTCAATCTCCAAATCTTCGAACACCCAGTAGTTTTATACCTAAATCTATGAAATCATCGTACTCAACCCCGTTAGCGTCTCAAGAAGAAATTTATAATCCAAATCAAATTTTCAACACATCAGTTAATGATCCAGAAATAGCTCCAAGAGTACTTGAAACTCTTCGTGGTCCACTTTTAGGACAAATAACTAATGATAGCCATAAAATGGCTAGATACCATCATATTCTTGAAAATATGAAAAACGATGGACGAGTTGCTTCAGTTGATATGGTTCCTGATACTCGTAATTCTGCGTTGAATATTCCGAATATAAATCGACTACTACCTCATGATGATAAATATTTTTCTGCTGGACAGTTGAACAACAGTAATTTTGAACAAAATCCGGTTAATATTTCGTTGAATAAAAATCTTGTAGGCATAAATAATAATACAGATCAAGAACAGAGTAGATTAACTACAACAGTACCAACCTCTTCCTCTATAATAAATCCTATTTATTGTGATAATCATAATCCAGCGTTAAATTTTGCGCAATCTAATTTTCATTCTAATAATTATTCTTCCAATAATCCAGCATTCCAGAAAATTGAGAGTAATCCTCAAAATCAATCACAAACTCATTTTAATACTCTAAATGCTCCGCAATGGTCGTCAAAGTTAAATGAACCATGCAGAAATTTACGTGAATCAAATTCACAAGAACATAAAAACTCCATATTAGCAGATAAATTACTGTCAGAAGCATTATTACCACCTAGTGCAATTCATGCTTCAGATATCATAGGGAGTACATTAGACAAAAAAGAACTTTCATTTATTCGTGAAAAACTTGCATCAAAATATTGTGGAAAAGAAGAAGAACTGGATGATCTACATAACTCATCAAAATCGCGTGAATTAATACGTGATAATGGGGAGGAACAAAATCTTCGAGGTCATATTAATCAAAATGTAGAGACTAATAATCAAAATAATGATTCAAAATTTATTCAAGCTCAATTAAGTAATTATGGCACTCCTGAAAACTCGATAATTAGATCAGAAAATCTTAACAATCCTATTTTCCCAGAAGAAGCTTTTGGAAAAACGAAAATTTTCGAAAGAGATTCAAATATTGAGCAACTTGCCGAGGCAACAAATGATTTATCGATAACTCAATCTAAAGTACAAAAGTGTCATAAATGTCAGGAAGGAATTTTTGTTAATGATGTAGTTGTAACTGTAGAGAAAGCTAAAAATGCAACATGGCACCCTGGATGTTTTGTTTGTTCAACTTGTAATGAATTACTCGTTGACTTGGTTTACTTTTATTATAAAGATAAACTTTATTGCGCTCGGGATCTTGCTAATTTGTTAGAAATACCAAGGTGTTTTGCATGTGATGAGGTAAGATAATTTTTACTTTGATTCAATACATGTTTATTTTAATAAATTATTTAAATTCAATTTTTATTTTTACAGTTAATCTTTGTACGAGAGTACACTGTTGCCGAAGGACACAATTATCATGTCAAACATTTTTGTTGTTGGGATTGTGATGTTCCATTGGCAGGACAACAGTACATTTCTGAAAATGATCGACCACTTTGTTTACTTTGTTATCAAAAAACATATGCGAAGAAATGCGATAAATGTCATCAAGTAATAGCTGCCGATCAACAAGGCGTAGTGGTCAAGAATCTTAATTTCCATGCAACCGATCAATGTTTTTGTTGCGCTACATGTAAAAAAAGTCTTTTAAATGGTCGAATGGCTATAAAAGAAGATAAACCATTCTGTTGTAAAGAATGTATAACTGAGTATTTAAATACAAGCAAATAATTATTTTTTTACTATATAAAAATATTTAAATCTTAGGGTTAGTTTTTCCATCCGCTATAAAATTTTATCCGTTTCTAAAATATATTTATATAAATAAATATACTGACAAAAATAATTTTATTTTTATTCCAGATTAAAAAATTTTGTAATAAATTTTATACTTTTAACATAGAATGTTCTGAAAATATTTTCAATTTTTACCAACTTCTGCTTCCAAATATTTACCTGGCTTAAAAGCTTCTTTAGCTAAGTTGAAAGAGTTTTAACTTTATATACTGTAATTAATTGTTTGAACATTAACAATATTTTAGGGAACTTTTGTTGGTTTTTTTTTTTTTTTATAAAATCTTAAGCTCCAAGATAATAATAAATAATGAAGTACTTCTATTTACTTGTTTCGTTATTGTTAAATTCATTAATTTCTGTGAAAACACGTGTCAAAATAATAAGAAATAATTTAAGATAGTACCTTTATAAATTGTATCTATTTTCTACGATTTTTCCTTTAGATTTATGCATCAATAATTTCGAATAATGTACATCATAATATTTCAATTGATTTTACCCAACTGTTCAATTATAAAAGCAATAAAGAATTTATACTTTTTTTAAATATAATTTTTATTTGTTTGAATAACATTTGTTGATTAGATGAGCAAAAAACACGAGAAAGATTCTGAATATATGTTTATTTTTTTTTTTGCAACATTTAGTTTCTTACAAATTTTATTGAGAGTTCTATAATAAATAAAAAAAAAAAATCACTGTTGTATCACGCCAAGTATAAATTTCGTGTTTATGACAAACAAAAAAGCTTTTTTTGTCTAATAAAAAGAAATAGTACATTCTTTCATAGCATCGAAAGATAAAAACTCATTGAATACTACAATTGTTTAATTTATATACAATTATGTATCATGAGTCTAACTCAGATCAAGATATTATAATATTTCATTGAATGTTAATTAGTTTTTGTTTATAATTATTGAATTAAGGAAAACATTATATTGATTTGCTGGGTTAACTTTAACTTAGTTAAATTTAACATTTCAATGAACTTGTACTTAGTCACTATCGACTATTAATTTAATTCTCTTACGTATTTTTTCATGTTCGGTTGTAGAAACTGGTGGGGGAGTAGGCGATTTCTGTTTTCTTAGAGGAGCTCGTCGAGATCGGTTAACACGACCTGTTAAAAATAATTCAGTAAATAAATAATGCCAAAAAGAAAAATGTATGTATCAAAAAATTTTATGGCTGTTAGGTGGGGTCAATTTTTTTTTTTTAATTTGCTATATAAATACCTTCTGAAATAATATTTCTAGTATCTAAGGAAGCAATTTCTTGAATACGTTCACGTTCAATTTTTGCTGCCTTGCACTTCTCTATAGATGGCCTTCCGGAAACCCCATTCTTTTCTAATAATTCCTTCAACTTATCGATTCGTTGTTTATTACTCTTGCAATTATTCCACAATCTTTTATAACATTGAACCCTTATACCAGCCAAGCGTATATATTTTTTCAAGGAATTCACTTTTTTATCAAAGTTAACGGAACCTCGCGACTACAAAAAAATTTAGAGCAATATAACATAAATTCAATAAATTAATAGCGAATTATGAAAAAGTAAAAATACCTTTTTTCCTTTGCTTTTATCCTTTTCTTCATCTTCATCGTCACTGAAATTCTCTTCACTGTCAGATGAATTTTTTGAATTATCTGAGTCATTAGATTCTTTATTCATAACTTTTTCATCTTTATTATCACTCTTCTTAGGTTTGTTTTTTTTATTTTCAACATTGTCAGAAATTTTAGAACTTTTAGGTACTTTAGGAGTTTTTGAAGAATTTGATTTAGTATTCTGTTTTTTGTTTATTCGTTTACGACTTTCTGATTCTGAATCACTACTAATGTCGTTGGTATCTGAACGATTATGATTTTCTTTTTCTTCTTCAGAGCCATTATCTTTGCTAGAGTCAAGTTTTTTCTCATCTTCAGACAAATTTTTATCGTCATGATCACTCGCATTTTTATCACTTTCTTCTTTATTTCCTTTAGATTTAACAATATCTTTTGACAGGGGATCAAGAGATTGGATTTTCTTTTTTTTTTCAGTACAGTCTTCCTCACTCGAACTATCTTCTGAATCCGTATCTCGTTTGACGTTCTTCTTTTTTGTTTGTACCTTTTTTCTATCTTTCTTTGTCTTTTTAATTTTGGTACTACCATCTCTACTATTTGATTTTTTATCATTATCATCATCCGATTCTTCTGATTCTGCTGAGGCTTTTTTATTATCATCAGAATCTTCCGAGTTTTTGTCATTTTCATCTACTTTATCATCTGCATCCTTTTTCTTAGAAGTATGTTCATTTTCCTGTAAATCAAAAGAAAAGTTTGAATATATCAAAAGGTGAAATTAAATAAAAAAATAATTACTTTCGGATTATTTTGATCATCAGAATTTGTGCCATATTTATCTGTTAATTCGTCTTTCATTGATTCCTTATCATTATTTTCTGAAGAATCATTTTCATAATTTTCAGTCCGGGATTTTTTAGTAACTATCTCGTCATTGTCGTCACTATCCACATGTACTCGTTTTTTATTAGTTTTTAACTTGGTTGTATCATTATCTATTATTTCATGTTCCGTTGAATTGTCCATTTTTTTTTTTTTTTTTTTGAAGTATTTCAATAGCTCAGCTTTGTTTTTCCTTAAAAAAATAGATAAATAAATAAGACATAATTGTTTTCATTTTGATTTTCATTCAAAATTATGTAAAATATGTATAATAAAATTAAATTAGTTCTTTAGTGTAAAATTGAATCAAGCGACGCAGTGTCAACACATATATATATTCATGTAGTATGTTATAATCTACAATTTTTATTATTAAAACAATTATTTAATTATTTTGATTCATTTTACTTACTACTTGATTGTTTATTTTATCCATAGATAAAAACTTATGTTACAACAAAAATAATAACTTTGTAAGTTTTAACTTTTAACTTACCGTTTACGCTTTTTACGCAGTATTTTTGTTGGTTACTAATCATTAATCATTACTGTATTTATTTGCGCGGCAAAATACGAGAACGCTGCATAAAATGTTAACCTCCGTGAACCGAACGTAAAATGTTCGGCAATGTCCGGATTATACTTCTGCAGTTATATTTAGTACTTATATCTAAATATACAATAACATATTTACAAAATATGTATGAATCAAGGTTGAATACATTGTTATTTTTTTACATTAAAATAAAGCTTCGTAATTTTGTTAGTTATATAAAAATAAAATAGAATTATTATAAAATATTGGTTACAACTATTGAAAAATGAATGAAGTTAATATTCTTAAAAATTTAAACAAAACATCTGGATCGTGGTTATTTTCTAGTAAGCAAACAGAAATTTTTTATTTTTTCAGAGTAATTTTGTTCTTTTATTTTTAAAAATAAACGTAAATTCTATTATTATTATTATTATAAAAATGGGAATTTTAATTTAATTGTTATAAAAATTTTTATAAATTGATAGATGTCTGTTAAATTCAGTATCAATTTTAAAAGTTGTGGGAGAAATTTTATTCTAACGATATAAACTTATTGTTTTTAGGTTTAAAAAATTTTACGAATCTTTCTTTCGTACCAAAATATGAACCACCGAAGCCAAATGATTTAATTCAGCTTGAAAATTTCATAAGAAATAAAGGCAAAATATGTGTTTTAACTGGTGCAGGTGTTTCAACAGAAAGTGGAATTCCCGATTATAGGTCTGAAGGAGTTGGATTATATGCTACTAGTGATAGAAGGCCTGTTTTATACCAAGATTTTAGAAAACATGATCATATCAGGAAGAGGTATTGGGCTAGGAATTATATCGCATGGCCGAGGTGAGTTTTAATTGTAGACGATTATCTATACCCAGAATTTGGTTTTTCTAATTATCATAATCATAATTCCTTATATTTATTACAGGTTTTCGGAATTCCAACCGAATTTCAGTCATAAAATTCTTAAACATCTAGAAGATTTAAACATTGTATCATGTATTATTACTCAAAATGTTGATAGATTACATTCAAAAGCAGGTAGTAGTCATGTAATAGAATTACATGGAACTGGTTACACTGTCATGTGTTTAAACTGTGATAGTAAAATTAGTAGAAAAGACTTTCAGTATATTTTAGACAAATTAAATCCAACCATTAACGCTAATAGCAAAGAAATACGACCTGATGGTGATATTGAACTTTCAGACAAACAAGCCCAAGCGTTTGTTTTACCGTCTTGTGAAAATTGTGGTGGTATATTAAAACCTGATATTGTATTTTTTGGAGACAATGTACCAAGACATACTGTTGAACAAGTTCGACATGCCGTTGACGAAGCTGATGCGTTATTGGTACTAGGTACATCTCTAACTACATTCTCCGGATATAGAATAATTTTACAAGCTGTTGAAGAAAAAAAGTCAATTGCAATTGTTAATATTGGTGAAACTAGAGCTGATAAGTACGCAGCCATTAAATTAAATTCCGGATGTGGTGAAGTTTTTAAACAACTATTTCCCAATTTAAATTTTCATAGTTAGATGAATACATAATTGAGTAGACAATGACAAATGTAAATAAATTATATTTATTGAAATACATCAAAAATTTTATGCGCGCAATAATTATTCTTTTCAGTTGTTAAAATTCGTTGAAATATTTAATTTGATTCGTGCTAGTCAATGACATACGTCAAATATTAAATGAAATATATTAGTATAGATCAGGCAAGAAACGAGCACTGAGATATAAACTAATGAAATCTATCTAGCATGAAATCTGTAGTTCACAGAATTTAAGAAGTTTTACCTCGTTTGGTTGAATCAAATTGATAGAGCTCTGAAAAATTTCTGATGATTTCAACACCCAACCGGTTAGTTGAATTTCTAATGAGTAGTTAAAGAAGCTTCGAATTTGTTAGCAAATCATAAATAAACGAAGAAAATGAAAGTTGAAAAATTTTTATCCCCAAAACTATTAAATTGATATTTTTGGTATCCACAGAGAAAATGTTGAGCATAAAAGCTCCTACTGCTACAGCTTCTACAACTTCCATTTTGGTAGATCTTCGTCCGGCAATAAATCATTAATTACAAATTATTTTAATTTCGGCTGAATTTCATAAAGAGACGATCCAGTGAGTTAAAAAGTTATTGAATTTCTTTGAAATTTTGAAAATTTATCCTTGACATAAAAATAAACATTTTGACTTTTGGTAGGAATTTATAAGTCAAAAACTTTTTTTACTTTGGAAGGTCGATAATTCATTATTTAATCATGTTATCGGACTATGATGGCTTGATAGTCCGGAAAATAATTACCAACAAATTGCATATTTGAAACTTTCATTGATGAAAATTCTAGAGCATAAAATTTCAAATATTATACTAACAATTTTTCATCCGTCAATTTATTTGAATAATAGTACGCGTCAAAGTTGGATAAAAAATTCGTTGTCAACGGTAAAAAGTATAGTCATTTTCTAAAGTAAAATGTATTAAAAATTCTTTGTATATAGAAATAATTCTGGAAAAATTCATGAAGCTATCTTTTTTTTTCTTGAGGCCTCCCCTGCGCAATTTTTCAATATTATTTAATTCATAAGAATTTCATAGATAAAAAAGTGTACTTCAAAAATTCATTAAAAGATTTACTTTTTGTAAAGTATGATCTTGAATATAAATTTTTTTAGTTGGTGATCAACAACACAATTTATTTTCTTTTGAATAAAATTGAAGGAACAAAATACAGTATGTTTGACAGAACCATAGTCTATTTTTTTTTCATTTGAATCTTTTTTTTGTTTTTTCTCCTATCTTTCTTTACTTAAATTAGACTTATCATTTAAAAAGTTTAATAAGAAATAAAATATTTGAAAATGATTTTTGGCTGATTCAAACATTCAAAGGCATCAATGGAACATATTTTTCACTTGGCCGGAAATGGTATTGTCCGCATATCTTTGCAGATTCAACTTCTCCGTAACCAACTCTGTAATAAAAGAAAAGTTGATCTATTGTCATATTAAAATTATTTAATTATCGTTCATTTAATAATTATTATGTAATTGTTTTGCAGTCGTGTAACCATTGCCATCTAATTAAAAACTCATGCATTAATTCCACCACCTCCGTTAACAAGATATCCCATTAAAAATACAAAAAAAAAAAAAAATTAGCATATGAACCCATTTAAAATCGTGGAATGATGAAATATTTATTCATTTAATAGCACTGATAGTCTTAACGAAAAAATTGAATATTGTATTGAACAATGGTTTTGGTTGATGTCGCCATCCTCGAGCATATATTGGCCAGTATTTTGGAGATTTCGCCCACTCGAACGCTTGTCTGTAATAACTATTTAAAACAACATTGACTTATTAATAACATTGTGAATAATAGTAGTATGTCTTACCTTTGCCATTCAGAACACGGACGTCTTTCTTTAAAACAAGTGACTTGTATGACATTGAAAAAGAGCGCACCGAGTGTATTGGCTACTTCAGTGTTCAAATTTTGAAGGCAACGTCGGAATTTAGCATCACAATCACAATGAGACCGAGTGAATGGCGCATTGTTGCAAATACTATTCAAACATTGATTGGGATTTATCACTACTGGACAATGATCATGTTCTCTGCAGCAAGCATCTTCAGCCGCGTGATGACCTAAGTCATTGTAAGAAGTTGCCAAAGTACCTGGTCCACACCATTTAGTGCCTGGATAAATTATCCCACCGCCCGCAGGCTGGTTCTAAATTATTAATTAATTAATTAACATATTAATCTATTATTAATTAAGTTAATTAAATTCTAGTACATTAAATTCAAGTTAATTATTTCTATTGAAGTATCGTTAAATTCACCAAAAAATATAATATTTGTTTAAAAAAACACAGCTACTGTCCAGCTGTCGACTTATTCAAAGTTCGAAGTTCAAAGTAACAATTAAAGAAAACTAAAATTTGATAATTATTAATTTTAATTGTTGTATTAACGATTTATATATATATATATATATATATTTTTTTTTTTCCAATCATTTTTTTAACAGCAGGAAGTAGTTATTGATTTCGGTTCGATTTTGAGAATTCAAATCTCCACATATTATGGTCCTAAAAAGCCGTTCCAACTGTTCCCGGCTGGAAGTAAGAGCGCGCACGTGTGTGTGGGGGTGGATGTGTGTATGTTTGTAAAGAAAACTTTGTCGAACTATATTTTTATAACGAATCTGATTAGATTTTGAAGTCAATCAGTCGAGCCGATTCAAAGATATCCAAAAATAAAAACCAAAAATAGTATTTTTCTTACCCAGGGCAGGAAAATAAGAAATGTCTCAGATTACATGTAATGTAACATGTTGACCGAGGCGAAGCCGAGGTACGACTAAACTATTGTGATCTGAGGCTTT